GCTAAAAGAACTTCTGTTCAAATACTACACCATTTATAGAAAAGTTAAAATGTTTAAAAAGATAACAAATTTGACTAAATTAAAAACAATCTATGGCAGTGCAAAATTACTAAGCAAAATCAAAATATAAACAACAAATTGGAAAAATATTTTTGCAATATATTATCAAAGGGCTAATATCTCTCATATCAATTTTTTTTAACTGAGGGTGAGAAGGGACTCAAAATCCTAGAAAAATGGACAAAATACTTGAATAGGCAAACTCGCCCAAAAAAAGATGTAAAGATGGCCTCTATACATATTTTTACAAGTTCATTCATAATAAAAGAAATGTAAAACAAAACTACGGAGGTACCATTGGTTTGGCAAAAAATCAAGTGTAATAATGCATTTTGAAGCTATGGAGAAATAGGGAGTCTTATGTATTGTTGGTGGGAATACAAAATAGCACATATTTGGCAATATTGAGTAAAACTACATATGCTTTTACCCTTTTACTTAAGAATCTAGGAATTTTCTCTGAAGATGAACTTCCGAAAACATAAAAATAACACACGGAGTATTATTTGTAATTGTAAATATCAGAACTATTAACATGCACAAATATAGGAAGACGGTAGAAAAAACTAAGGTATTTAAACTCAATGGAGCCAGGTATGGTGGTACACACCTATAATTCTAGCACTCAAGAAACAGAGGCAGGAGGATCTTGAGTTTGATTGAGGTCGATCTGGACTTCATAGTGAGACACTGTCTCAAAAAAAGAATAACAAACTCAGTGGAATACTACAATGCTATAAAAAATGTGAGGAAGATCTGTGTAAAACAATATGAAGCAACTTCTAGGACATAATGTTCAGACAAAAAGAGTACATAAAGCACAAGATCTTTTGTGTAAGAAAGAAAGGGCTATAAGGAAATAATTCTGCTTATTTTGGCAAAAAGAAATGTAGAAAGAGAAAATTAGAATGGAGTTGGTTACTTACAATCCAAAAAGAGGTAAAGGGATAGGAAAGGAAGTAAGATTTGAGGATACATTTGAGTACACTTTAGGAAGTATGTGAATGTCCTACATATTCAAAGAGTAAAACTAAATTGGAAGGAAAATATGCTATGTAAGGAAATTATTGGAATAACTAACCAAAACAGGAATATGGACTGCACATTAACTGTACTATGATTACAGAAAAGGAAATACTTGTTCTTTGGGACTACCCAGTGGAAGGTTAGGTAGTAAAGGAGCATAGTATTACAATCTACTCTTGAAAAGACAAAAAAAAAATGCATTCACATTTGTATAGAACTATATACGTACACATGTAACATACATACATGTGTATAGAGAATTTAAAAAATGACAAAGTTAAAAAATGGTAAATTTTAATAAAGGATAGCAAGTTTTCTATTGTTCTTGCCAATTTTCCATGAAATAGTCATTAATTCAAAAGTAAGTTTTTTGTGGGGTTGGAGGTACATGTCAGTAGTAAAGTGCATGCTTAACAGATGTAAGACCCTCGGTTTGATTCAAAACACCAGCATAAAAAAAAAAGTTTTTAAAAACACAATGTGAACTTAAAGCACTACTAAAAATCTCAGATATGAATACTGTGATGATAAACTACTGGGGGCTTATGATGGCTGGATTGATGAATTTCACTGTTTACTTTATGGTATATATTTTAATGAATGTAAAATAGTTACCTCTATTTCATACATCACAGTTCCAGACTATCAAAGAACCAAAAGAAATCCAATGGTGATTTTTTTTTTTTTTGCATAAAGGTCAGGTATATTCTACCATCAATTCAAATGCACTAATGGGTAAAATGGAGTTCTATTTATAATACTATGATGCATATACTGACTTTTACATAAAATGTAAAAAAACCTTGAAATTAAACAGGCATTGTGACCATTAGGCATACAAAGTGGTTAAAGACAGAAAGAAGTATTAAGTAGGCCAACCAGCCCAAGACCCAGTGTACCTCTTTCAGCTGGTCAACTTTTAATGTGTAATCACTAGTAAGAACTCTTAAAAAATCACTTTACCACTTCTGATGTCAAGATGCCCCACATCAAACCTTATTTTATTTGACCCAAACTGAACAACAACATTTACATCATACATTGGGAAGCAGAAGCAGTGCAGCTATCATTTAAAATATGCAATGATGGTTTAAGTAAGAGGGCAACAAAGCAGATATGGAAAATTAACATGCCAATATAAGTACCAAGTTGAGCACCTACCTTAATACAAGAACTAAAATATCTAGCTATACAATCTGGGGTTCTAATACAACAAGTTTTGGCAAAAGTAGTTGGAGAAACACTTATCTAATTGCTGACAGGTTGTACCTGGAGACAGTACAGGGAAACATACAAATTTTGATATATGTAGGAATTTTGAAGAGTAAGTATGCATTGGTTTTACAGTTTAAAAAGTGCTAAAATTGGAATTAATGATCTGTCACAAGGATACACAAGTGTGCATGGCAATAGCAAGCTATGTGAACTGGCTTCATAGAGACCAAACTAAAGTTTGAGTATTTTCAGATCTAACTAATAAAGATAAAAACTCATTAAAAAGAAGTAAGATAAGCAAATGTTAAAATATGGATACTTCACTCGAGAGTATGGGCTGAAAAAAACCCAAGACTTTATTATGTAAAACTTTTATGATCTTAATGGAAGTTAGCTTTAAAAAGCCACAAAGGACTATGAATTAAATGTCTGACAGATAGAAAAAAAAGGATTCAGATCACTTTGGGAGAAAGTTGCTTTTAAATAGTATACATTTCCAAAGAAAAATTTTACACTGGATTACTTTTTAACTCAAGTTTTTTAATGAAGGATTTTTCTCTTTATAAAAACAAAACACTTTCATTCTTCTTGAACCTTTATATACAAAATTTATCAAATTGGCAATTTCTATAGCAACAGGCTGACTCTTATGCAAGATTTATCAAATTGGCAATTTCTATAGTAACAGGCTGAATCTTATATATAAAGTGATTTATATATAAGATTAGTAGGCTAATTATTATATTGTTGCATAGGTCTAGTACTACTTGATAGGCTCTAAATTTATTGCAAAACTCTAACTCCTTAATTTGAGATTTACAATTTAAATATCTACACTGCATCTAATGGTGGCAACACCACCTTGTGGCAAAAGAAAGAACTCTGAATTACAGAAGTCAGGATTGCTTTCCCAGAGAGAACATGGATGGCACTTGTGGTAAATCTTTTTAGTGACCTGTATAGCTATTCCGTGAGTGTTCACTTTAATATAATAATTTGTTAAACTGCATGACTGTTCTATATTTATTTTAATTAAAATTTTTAAAGTTTATGAAAAAAATGTTTTACATGTATCTAAATTAAAGGTCACCTGCCTAGGTGTTTCTATTTTCTAGCCAGTTCTATTTCCCAAAATTGCCTAGAAGTAAAATGCATTCTTAACCTTGCCATACTTTTATGTTAGGAAACAAGACAGTACAAATGGAGTTTTCTCTGGTAAGTATAAGTATGGAAGGGTTCCCTATAAATGTTTCCTTAGGTGTTTTCACTGCTGTTCTCTCACAGCCTCCAAAAGCAATTGCAGGTACTCTGGAATCACCTGGAAGGATTCTGCACACCTACACAAACAGATCTGAAAACTGTCATCAAAAAGCAAAAACAAAAACAAAAGACTAGCAACAGATTTTGCAACCTTACTATAGAACATCAAGGGCATGTGGCACATTTAACTATGCGACATTTAATCAAGAGGGTTTTCTTTACCATACCCCAAGGAATGATGCACAGTAACTATTCACAAAATTACTGGAACTACTTGGGGAGATTTCCATCTTCTGTTCTACCATTTAATCACTTCCCTTAGCAGATAACTGTATCATGTTAAGTAGCTCCTTTCTCACCCTGGAGCAACTTTTTTAAAAGGGAAAAAGCCTCACTCCTTTTCCCAAGTAGTCTGTCAGGAGATTTTAGTGACAATGTCCTCATTAACTGGCACGAGACAAGCCACTGATGGTAGCTCAGTTGCAGCCACGTGTCACGTGCAGGGGGAGCAATGCCTATCCCTACTTAGCTCCACTCAAATACTAGGAATATTTTGGATTTAAATAAAGGTTGCAATAAAAATGTGGCAAATCTGCCTGAGAGTATGTCACAGGATAATGCCTTCAGCTGTTAACTGTACTTGGTAAAATAATCCTATCTTCAAGTTAAGTGCAAAGAATATTTTTTAAAGAAATTCATTAGAAAGTTATATTATAATTTTTGACTCAAGCTGTTTATTTAATTTTTTTTTGAGATAAGGTATTACTGTATAGCCCAGGATGGCCTTGAACTCACCATCCTCCTGCCTCAGTCTCCCAAGTGCTGGGATTACATGTGATTTACGGTATGCTATAATATAGAGGGCAGCCACTATGCAAATACTCTGTCTCTTAAAACTTGACCAATTCAGATATGATTATTTTAATAGTCAAGAATAGTGTTCAGCTAAGTGTTTGTTTCTGTCTGTGAAGGCGGGTCAGGCTAAAAGAATAAAATAGAGTTGCCTTATGAAATTAAAAGAAGGAATACTCTCAGAGAGCTCTCTATATAGAGTATTAAAGAGGAGAACGTGATTATTTAACTTAAATCTGAAGAGATAAAATTTTAATTTCCTTCTTAAAACAAGTAAGAAAATATAAATTTAACATAAGCTGCTGTACTAAGATTTCTGGAGTTGTCCATTCAGAAATGTCTTATAGGAACCAAAGCTAAGATAAAATATTATTGGTGATAAAGCTTGGCATTGATATTCTACATAAGCTACATAATGGTTTCATCTATTATAACCACAGGTTCAACTTAGCACCCTAAGAAAGTTTTCAGTATTTTTAAGATACAAATATTTCTTAATCTTTTTGTTCTCAGAAGTGGATGAGAGAGAGGGAGGGAGGGAGAGAGAGAGAGAGAGAGAGAGAGAGAGAGAGAAAGAGAAAGAGGGAAAATTACTATAAGTCAATGGGATCAGAATCTTTTGAGTCTTTGCTACAACTGGAATCGAAAACGGAGAAATTTTAACAGACTGCCCCCCCCTTAAACAAAAATCTTACACTTAATCATTCAAATCTTAGGGGCTGATGCCATAAAAAAGATTGGAAAACATACACATACTTAGTAACAGTGAGCCTAGGCAGTTTCATACAGAATGTTATACTTACAGGAAATCCAGAGTCTCTAGGAAATTATTAAAATTGTGAAGAGATTAAAATGTGTATGCTTTTCCCTTCAACTTTGGTTAAATGTAAATTTAGATACTGACAGTTTCTGATCAGGAAGCAGAAATGTGTAACGTTATATTTATTTTAATTGTCATTTGAGAACAGTATTTATGCAAAGCTCATATTTAGCAGGTTACACACTAATATCACAAACCAAAGATTCTAAATTTTATAGAGCATCCCAAGCTAATGGTAACAACCAGATTAATAATAAGGAGAACCAATGCTATTCTTATAGCATTAAGCTAGGAAATAAGTAATACAGTCATGTTCAGGAAATAATACTTAAAAATATAAACTACTATACATTAGATTTTTCTGTTCAAATCCCTTAGTTAACAGCAATACCTAAAACACCTTCAACTGTAAACTCAGCTTGCAAGTTTTTGAATTTTTTCCTGCATCTTGAAAATTTCTAGGTTTGATTAAATATGTTATCTTCTATTTCTTCTTAAAGAGCCAATGGCCATAAAAGGATCATCATCATCATCATCCTGAAATGACATATAAGTGTTAATGTCAGAGATGTTCCATGCTTCATTCAATGAGACAAGACAGACTCTTTTTTTGGTGGGACTGGGGTTTGAACTCAGGGCTTTATGCTTATAAAGCAGGTGCTCTATCACTTGAGCCACACCTGCAGTCCGGGACAAAAATTCTTGTGGCAAATAGTATCAGTGAGATTCTGTGGAGTAAACTGCATTTTCCTACTTCCTTTACAAATGTGAGAAATATAAAATCCAATTAAGTTCAGTTTATTTTTTTGAGAAAGGTATGTAGCCCAGGCTAGCCCAAACTCACTGCATGCCCTAGGCAGGACTCAAACACATAATCCTCCCTCTTCAGTGCTAGGATTATGGGTGTATATCATCTTGCCTGGCTTCCAATTAAATTCTTAGTAAACATCAAAAATAAAATATTCTGCTATGCTTGTGGCTCACACCTGTAATCCTAGCTACTTGGGAAGTAGAGATCAGGAGGATTGAGGCTTGAGGCTAGCCCAGGCAAACAGTTAAGAAGATCCCATCTCAACCAATGAAAGCTGGGTGTGGTAGAATACGCCTGTCATCCCAGCTACATGGGAAATGTAAATAGGTAGGAAGATCACAGTCCAGGCCAGCCCAGGGATAAACATGAGACCCTATTTGAAAAATAACTAAAGTAAAAAGGGCTAGGGACAGAGCTCAAGTAGTACAGCGTCTTTCTAACACTTGAGTTCAATCCCCAGTACCACCAAGAAAAAAAAAAAATCTCATTGCATACATACACACACCTACCCCTCATATACATGTGTTTAAATAACATGTAATATCATATATAATATATATCACATTCATTTCCCTCAGTTATTAACATTAATAAAGGCAAATGAGGTTTGGTTAAGTCAGGAAGAAAACTGCTCCTCAAATCATTTCTATTTGGTTTGTGAACAGTTTTTTTCATTTATATTTTATTACCAGTGTCTGCTCTTCTAGAAATTCAGCCAAAAATTAATGAAGCCACATGGGGAAGCTCTAACTCAGAAGCAGCTATAATTCTTATTTTCTATTAGTCAATTAATGCTTGACGTAGATGTTATTCTCAGACTGATGCAAGATACAAGTTAGCAAAGCAATATTTGAGCCTTTTGGATAAAGAAGTAGAAGGGATATATCAAAAGTCCCCAAGTTGATGGCCTGTTGGTTGTACGTATGGTAAGAAGGATGAGAACAACTAACAACCGCATATAAGCTCAGATTGTGTAATTTGGTGAATAATATAAAACCAATTATATCTAACAGCTAAATATTCAGAAGATTTGTAAATTCCTGATTTATGTTTCTATTAAGACATTAATGAAAGAAGTAGTTATTTCATGTTTAACTTTATTGGAGGAATTAAAAAATTCAAACGCTAGCTAAGTTAACCATCTCCAGTGAGAAATGGCTATCTTGGGAAAGACAAATGCATTTTCAGTTACTGATTGTAAGTTTTTGCTTCTAATCAAAGGCAGAACTTGTTAAAGATAATCCAAATGAAGACTAACAGAGAATTGACATACCCACTTTTAACTTTAACATGTAACCACATACATATCTAGATGCTTTGCCTGCTTTCCTTCTGATAGCAGCATGTTAACGTTCAATAGGTAGACAGAGCTCTTGCTGTCATTTTTATTTGCATTGTGAGTTGTAGCAACTCCTGTCCAGCTGTTGTAAAACCCCAGGTGAGATACAGAAAACATGACAACAATAGCAGAGGTTCAAAACGAAAGAGATCAGTCACATACTATAACATAACCTTGTAGACATTTTGCTAAGTAGAATTAGTGACTCACAAATAGAAAACTATTGTAAGATTCCCCTTATTTCAGGTATCTAGAGTAGACAAATTCATAGGAGGAGAAATGAGACTTGTTTAAGGGATATAGTTTCAGTTTTGCAAGATCAAAAAGTTCTAAAGATGTTTTACAATGATGTGAATACATTTAATACTAGTGTACTATATACTTAAAATGTTTAAGATGGTTTTATGTTATGTGTTTTTACTACAACTAAAATATTTTGAGTAAAAACTAAATAAAGCAGAGGTGTAACAGGCCTAACTTGCAGAGGTCATTGCACTGGCAGCTGTGGAGGAAAGGGAAAGGCCAGTATCATTCAGTCATGTTGCTTTGATTAAAGTCAACTTAAGTAACAAATGAATAAAGGAAAGAGGAAAGTCCCGATTTTACTTCTTCCTATTCTTCTTTATTCAAGTTAGAGGAGATTTTACAGGCAAACATCTTGAATTGGAGTTTCTTTTACACATCCTGCCAAACAGGACTCCAATGTCCCAATACTTCCATGACATGAAAATCACTACCATGTGTCATCTTATCTAAGAAACATGTGGAGCACATAATGGATTCCTAAAAAGCATTCTATTAAAGTAACATTAAATTACATTATCATCACCATCATTTCTCCAAATATTAATGCCAGAGGTTAAAAGTCCTATTCCAATCTGTTAATGGGGCAAATTAAATAAGAGCTGAGTGGACATGGTATTTTAACATTGGTAGGCCTTTTATATGAGGTAAATACATTGATGGGCACTCAACAAATGTTACTTATTGACATAGTTCAAGGGAAGGTTATCAGAGAAACTTTTTAAAATAACTTTTAGCATCTAGTGTTCACCACCTTATAAACAGTTAAAATTTAACAATATTACTTTATTACCTCACATGATTCAAAATCGACACCTTTAGGTATTTGGCTTTGGGACATGCGTTTGCTGGATGATGTGCTTGACCACCTGAGGCAAAAAAAAAAAAAAAAAAAAAAAAAAAAGAAAAAGAAAAAAAGGAAAAACAAAGACAGTGAACAAGAACAGACACAATTTATCAAAAATGCACTTCTACTTTTGTGGTTTTTTTGCTGTATGGTTCTTCTGATGCACCTGGGATGGCAAGCATTATCTTAGACACTACACCCAAGAACCAAGAAACACCTGGAATACCCAAATACACTGGGCAACATTTTGGGTTGTGACTCAGATCTAGGGTTCAGCAGCTTCCAACAAGGGAAAGGACTTCCACTGGAACATACAACTGATTGCCTTCCTAGATTATAAGATTTTTCTTTGCTCCTATACTGCTCTAAATATACTGGGGCAGAAGCAATGATAGGACTTCATTAGGGTTTACTGAAATCTCAAAATTATAATTTCTGATCCGTGACAGCTCTTGTAGCTAAGCTTCCTCTTTTTGAGAGGAATAAGGAACTGCACCCAGCATCTTGAGCATTGAAGTCAAATGTTTTGACTACTGACCAACACACCCCAAGTCTATAGAGACAACAAAAGACAACCCAGCCATTATACAGCATTGAATAGTCGATGAGAAATTCCTAACTAAAAGGATATAGAGGACTGAAACCCCCAAACAAAAACTCGGACCCACATGGGTAAAATCCCAGCATAAAAAAAAATTCCATGAAAAATAAGCCAGTATGTCTCCTCCAAAAGCCAACAATTCCACAAAAAAGGATTTAAATAACACTGAGGAGGAAATCTCAAACAATGAATTAAAAAAAAATTGATGATAAAATTGATCAATGAAATTAAAGAGGATACACAAGCAACTGAATAAATTCAAAGAAGATACAAAAAAACCCTAACAGAACCCAAAAGAGAATTCAAATAAACAGCAGAATGAAATAAAGAAGACAATGTAGGTATTAATGAGGAATTCATTAAAGACATAGAAATCCTAAAAAATCAAATTGAAATCTTGGAAATGAAAAGCTTAATATTCCAAATAAAAACCTCAATTGAAAGTCTTGCTAACATAGTGAAGCAGGTTGAAAATATAGTACCAGGGTTGGAAGATAAGTAGAGGAATTAGATCAGTCAAAAATAATAAAAAATTACTAAGAAAACATGAATGGGACATGGAAGACCTCTGGGACACCATCAGAAAACCAAACATACAAATCATAAGCAATAAAAGATAGAGAAGATATACAAACTAAAGGCAAAAATAGTTCATTCAATAACACAGAAGCAGAAAATTTTCTTAATTTCCAGAAAGGAATGGACATTTATGTATAGAAAGTTTTCAGAACACCAATCAGTCAGAAAGGGAAAAGAAATACCCCAGATATATTATAATTAAAACACTATAAGGAGAACAACAAAAGAATATTGAAAGCTGCAGAAGAAAATGACAAGTCACATATAAAGGCCAAACCCATTAGAATAATTGCAGATTTCTTAAAACAAACTCTAAATGCAAGGAGGGCATGGAATGATATATTTCAAGCTTCAAAAGAAAACTATAAACCCAGAGTAGTTTATCTAGTAAAATTATCCTTCATAATTGAAGGAGAAATACAAACCTTCTGTAATAATCAAAAACTAAAGGAATTATGACCACCAAACCAGCACTGCAGAAAATACTTAAAGGAATCTTAAACATAGATGAAGAAGAAGATAGAGAAAGTGAAGAAATGTAAGAAAGAATAAACCCCACTAGCCAAGTAGATTAGCAAACAAGGAATAGGGAAATACTAAATATAAGAAAGACAACAAAATGACTGGAAATACTATATTTTTTCAGTATTAACACTGAATGCTTCTCTGAGCAAGATCCAACCCTTTGTTACTTACAAGAAAGATACCTCACTGATGAAAGCATTGGCCTAGAGTGAAAGGGTGGAAAAGGATCTTCCAAGCAAATAGACCTCAAAGTAGGCAAGAGTAGCTAAACTCACATCTGATAAAGTGGATTTCGGACCAAACTTAGTCAAAAGAGACAATAAAAGTCACATCATATTAATCAAAGGGAACAATCCACCAAGAGGAAATAACATTCTTAACATAAGTGCCAAATGTTGGTGCACCTAACTACATTAAAAATTATTGGGCTTAAAAGTACCAAAATAGTAATAGTGGGAGACTTTAATACTCTACTCATACTAATAGATAGGTCATCCAGACCAAAAAAATAAAAAACAACAAAGAAACCTCAGAATTAATAGGCAGAATAGTCCAAATGGACTTAACAGACATCTACAGAGCATTTCACTCAGCTATTGCACAATACATATTCTTTTCAGCAGCCCACAAAACTTTCTTCAAAATAGATCATATTTTAGGATACAAAGCAAGTCTTAACAAATGTAAGAAAGCTGTATTCTACTAGACCATAATGGAATAAAACTAGGACTCAACAGCAAAAGAAACTATAGAAAAATTTGAACACATGGAGACTGAACATTGTTGAATGACCAGTGAATCACTGAAGAAATAAGGAGGGAAATCAAAAAGTTCCTAGAGGCTAATGAAAATATAACCTACCAGAGCATTTGGGATACTGCAAATACAGTGCTGAGAGAAAGTTTATAGCTTTCATTAAAAAGTGCCTATATAAAAATATATATATATTAAAAAAATTTTATAAATATATTTATATATAATATTTACATAATATCAACATATAGTTAATATTATATAAATATAATATTTATTATAAATAATTATAAATATAATTATAATATTATAAATAATATTTAATTTATATATATATGAGATCACAAATAAATAAGCCATTGATACACCTTAAGCTCTTAGAAAAACAAGAACAAGCCAAACCCCAAACTAGTAGATGGAAGGAAGTAATACAAAGTAGGGCAGAAATTAAAGAAATTAAAGAAATAGAGACCCAAAAAACTATACAAAGATGAATGAAACCAAAAGTTGGTTCTTTGAAAAGATAAATAAGATTAATAAATCACTAGCCAACCTGACTAAAAGGAGGACAAAGTCCCAAATTAACGAAATTAGACATGAAAAAGAGAGTACCACAACAAATACAAATGAAATCCACTTGATCTCAGGAAGGAATATTTTGAAAACCTGTATTCAAATAAATTGGAAAATTCAGAAGGAGTGGATAAATTTCTAGATGCATCTGACCTACCAAAATTGAACCAAGAGAATATTAAACCACCGAAATAGATGTATAATAAGCAGTGAGATTGAAGCAGTTAATTCTACCAGACACTTAAAGAAAAACTAACACGTATACTCCTCTAACTTTTCCATGAAATATAAAGGTAAGGAACACTACCAAACTCTTAATGAAGCCAGTATTAGCCTAATACTAAAATCAGGTAAAGACACATTAAAAAAAAAAAGTCAAAGGCCAATTTCTCTGATGAACATATATATATGCAAAAATCCTCAATAAAATACTTACAAACCAAATTCAACAGCACATTAAAAAGATCATGTACCATGATTAAATAGGTCTCATTCCAGAGATGTAAGGATGGTTTAACATATACAAATCAGTAAATGTAACATAACGCACAAATAGAACCAAGGACAAAAAAAAATCACATAATCATCTCAATACATGAATTAAAAAACCTCTGACAAAATTCATTATCCTTTCAGAATAAAAGCTCTGAAGAAACTAGGAATACCTCAACATTATAAAGGCTCTACATGACAAACTTATGGGTAACATTATATTTAACGGAGAAAACCTGCAATCATTGCCTCTAAAGTCAGGAATGAAACATGGTTTCTACTGTTACTCAATATAGCACTGTAATTCCTAGCCAGAGCAATGAGAAAGGAGAAAGAAATCAAAGGGATTCAAATAGGGAAAGGAGTAAGTCAAATTATCCTTATTTGCAGATAGTATGATATTATACCCATAGATCCTAAAAACTCCACCAAAAAAACTTCTAAATATTATGAACACATTCCACAAATAAACAGGATACAAAATCAATACACAAAAACCAGTAGCTTTTGTATATACCCACAATGAACAGACAAAGAAATCAGGGAAACAGTCCCAATTCAAAATAGCCCCCAAAAAATTCTTAGGAATAAATTTAAAGAAGGAAGTGAAAGACCTCTATGAAGAAAACTATAAATCATTAAAGAAAGAAATCAAAGAAGACATTAGAAGATGTAAAGCCATCCTGTATTCGTGGATCAGCAGAATCAATACTGTGAAAATGGATATGCTACTGAAAACAATCTATATGTTCAATGCAATCCCTATCAAAATTCCAATGACCTTCAGAAATAGAAAAATTAATCCTAAAGTTCACATGGAATCATAAGAGACCTGAAATAGCTAAGGCAATACTGAGCAAAAAGAGGAACCCTGGAGGTATAACAACACCTAACTTCAAACTATACTATAGAAACATAGTCATAAAAACAGCAACAATAATGGCTAAAACCAGATACAAACACCAATGGAAAAGAATACAAGACCCAGAGACAAATCTATGTAGTTACAGGTATTTGATTTTTTGACAAAGGAGTCCAAAGGAAATGTTGGAGAAATGACAGTCTCTTCAATGAATGGGAAACTGGTTATCACCTAGTTTCAGTGGAAACTAGATCCCAGTCTCTTAACCTGTCCTAGGATCAATTCAAACTCAATCAAAGATCTTAATGTAAGACCTGGAATTGTGAAACACTTACAGGAAAGAATAGGGAAAACAGTGAAATATTTCAGCATAGTTGGTAACTTGCTGAATAGAATTCCAATAGCTCAGTAGTTAAGAGGATGGATTAACAAATGGAATTTCATCAAACTAAATAAAAATCTTCATATGTATGGCAAAGGAAACAGTCACTAGACTGAAGAGACAGCCTAAAGAATAGAAGAAAATCTTTGTCAGCCATATATCTGACAAGGGATTAATTTAACAAGGGATTAAAAATGTATAAGGAGTTCAAAAAACGAATCCTCCAAAGAATCAACAACCCAATGAAGAAATGGGCAAATGAACTCAACAGACAATTCTCAAAAGAAGCTCCAATGACCAGTAAATACATGAAGAAATGTTCAACATTCCTAGCCACAAAGGAAATGCAAATCAAAATGACATTGAAATTTCACCTCACTTTAGTCAGAATGACTATCATAAAGAACACAAACAATAAACAAATGTTGACAAGGATTCAAGGAGACAGGAGCTCTCATACACTGTTGGTGGGAAGTTCATCACTATGGAAAGTAGTATGGAGGGTCCTTGCTCCAGTGATACCACTCCTGGGCATATGAAAGAATGTAAGACTGGATACAACAGAGACACTGCACTCCCATGTTTATTGCACCACTATTCACAATAGCCAAACTATGGAAACAGCCCAGATGAACAACTGATGGATTAAAAAAACGTGGTATATAAACATGATGGAATATTTATTGTTTAGCCATAAAGAAGAATGAAATCATGTCCTTCGCAGGTAAATGGATGAAACTGGAGCTCATCATGTTAAATGAAGTAAGGTAAGCCAGGTTCAGATAGACAGACATACATATATACACATACACCACACACACATGGTGTGGGGGGAAATACGTTTGTAATAGTGGGACTATTAGGGGACTAGGGGGAGCTGGGAGAGGAAAAGAAAATGATGGAGAATGAATCATATCAAAGTACAATGTATCCGTGTATGAAGAGGGGCTAGCAAAACACACTGAATGTTGTTGAATATTGGGGATGGTGGAGATATAGAAGTAGAGAGTAATAGAAAGGGTTAATCTGATTAAAGTACAAGATATGCATGTGTGAAATACCACCCTTTTGAAAAGAAATATACACTTAAAAAATGAAAGACAGGAATGTAAAAAAGGTCTTATTCTTAGTTGGGTACTAGTAGGAAGGGGGAGGGTAAATATGGAGAGGATGAATATGGTCCACATACTTATAGAAAAACAAAACAAGGAAACCTGTAAAAAAAATTATAAAAACTGTCAGACTTTCTTAAAAAAAAAAAAAATTCTCCCAAAACAACAGAAAGTAAAGGTCCTTTTATCCTTCCTCCTTTGAAATACATGTTTTATCCATATTTATGACTGTATCTTGGAAGTTTTAAATGGAAATGAATAAATTTATACCTATCTATCTGCCAAAGAAAGAAAATTTAGGTGTTTATTGCTGATCTTTTATTTATTTCTTAGTCCATATTCTATAGAAAAACTGGTACTAGTCTATGAATGCAAATGAAAAATTCTTAGTAGTAGTAACATGTACAATTATTTTTTCCTTAATTATATCGTCTGGGTTCTGTCAATTTAATATTTTTTAAATAAAGAATAGCACACAAAAATGCACTTTTAGTTAAGTTTTTAATCCCATACCAGTCAACCAGCCACTGAATAAACACAATTACCTTCAATCTACATTAGAAACAGTAAAAATTTAATAATAAGAAAAAAGGCTCTGTAGACAAAGTTTGGATCCAATTTTTTCATTTACTAGCTATGTGGCTTTAGTACTGACCCTCTCTGTGCTTCAATTTCCTCATCTGTAAAAAGGGGAAACAAGTTTTTTTTCCCCTAAGATTTATGTGTTAATATGCTTAAGCACTTAGAACAGTGCCTGACATATATTTAAGTTTTCAGTGAAAATATTTTTGATAATGCTCCATCTACTCTATGCTAGCTTTCTGTCTGTTTTTCATTTTCGTCTACATACTTTACTAGTTAAAAGTAATTCTGCTTAACTTGCATGGCATTAAAAAATGTATCACTATAGAATTGTGGATCATTTTTAATTTTTTTGACTTTTGTTTTACAAGAAGTCCCTGGCCTACCTTTGATCTGTTCTTGAAGCGGTAGGAAAAATTTCTTCTTCCTCATCGGATTCATCTACTTCAATTACCTAAGGAAGGAAAGTAAAGCACAAATAGGTCTTGGGACTGGAACACTGGAGTAAAAAATGAATTACAACTGAATCTCAAAGTGACTTTTTTCTCAGAAAAGTGTTACAAAAAGGGGGCTGGAAGTATGGATCAAGTGTGCTGCCTATCAAGCACAAGTGCTTGAGTTAAAAATCCCAATACTGTCAAAACACAAACAGAATACTCAGCCCCAAACTCCAAAACAACAGAAATTATAGAAAGGCAGCTAGAAACACGTAAGAAACAACTATTAAAACTAAACCCAGCCTGACCTCACTCTATCATTCACAAATGGTATTCTCCACTCTATGTCTTAGTTCACTTCTCTCCTGAACACCACAGGAGCCACACTTCTTAAATGAACACAGACTGATGAGTGACTTGAGTGCAGTTATGCCCCGTAGTTTTCTTTGTGGTTTTGATGAAGAGTTAGATCTTCAGTGTTTCAATTGTCATTTCTTTGTTTCAGAAAATCCCTACTTTTAATAAAATTTTATATTTAAATGGTATTTCAATTTTAAGTTTAATTATTAATTTCTACCCACAAAATTCACCTACTCTTTCTTTCCATTAGAACTTTTTTATTCTACAAAATGATGGGTTTCATTATGACATTTTCACACGTGCATACAATGTACTTTAATTAGAACTTTAAAAAAAATTGTTGTGCTGGGTGGGTGTACACTGTAGCATTTACAAAAGTTCTCACAACATATCAAATTTATCAACTTGAATTAACCCCCTCTACCATTCTCCTTCATGCTCCCCTTCCCCCATTCCTGGAATAGTTTCAACAGATAAAATTTTTTCATTTACATACATGTGTACACAGTATTTGTACCATATTCACTGTCCTTTACCACTTCCCCCCTCCCACTGTTACCACCCCTCACAGCCAGGACCTGTTCCACCCTCCTGTTCTGATTTTTACACAAGAAAAAAAATGACATTTTTGCTTGTTTAAGATAGCATCACAGGGAGTTTCCTTTTGGTACTTCCATGTATATATGTATTATAGCTCAATTTGTTTCATCTGCTCTATTTTTCGTCTTTCTACCTTAGTTCCTTTCTCACGGTGCTGCCTATCAAGCACAGCTGACTTAAAAATTGTATTTTCATTCTTGTATAGTGAGTACATCAATCATATTCACCTTCTTAACTTCTTTTACCCTTCCCCTCTTGAATGTGACTTCCCCTTAGCGTGACCTGTTTAAAAAGCTTCTGCACAACAAAAGAAAATGGTCTCTAAATTGAAGAGGCCATCCACAGAATAGGACAAAATCTTTGCCAGCTATACATCTGACAAAGGGACAGGAGATTGATAACCAGAATACACAGAGAGCTCAAAAAACTAAACTCCCAAGAAAATCAATGGCTCAATCAAGAAATGGGCAAATGAACTGAACCAGAGCATTTTCAAAGGAAGAAGTTCAAATGGCTAAAAACACATGAAGAAATGCTCAGCATCCCTGGCCATAAAAGAAACGCAAATCAAAACCACATTAAGATTCCACCTTACTCCTGTTAGAATGGATGTGAGGAAAAAGGAACCCTCATATACTGCTGGCAGGAATGTAAATTAGTATAACAACTATGGAAAACAGTTTGGTGGCTCCTCAAAAACTAAAAATAGAACTGCCATATGATCCAGCAAAACCACTCCTAGGGATATACTCTAAGGAATGTAAGTCAGGCTACAACAAGGGCACCTGCACACCCATGTTTATTGCAGCGTTATTCACAATAGCTAAGCTATTGCAACAGCCAAGATGCCCCACTATGGATTAAGAAAATGTGGTATTTATATACAATGGAATTTTATTCAACCACAAAGAACAATGAAATTTTGTTGTATGCAGGTGAATGGATGAAACTGGAGAACATCACCTTAAGTAAAGTTACCCAGGTTCCGAAGGCCAAAGCTGCGTGTTTTCTCTCATATGTGGAATATATACCTAATACAAATACAGCAATAATCTGAAAAACAGGTCATGCTAAGGGTAGGTCCCATTTCTTTTTTTCCCTGGTGATAATGGAGTTTAAATCCAGGGCCTATGAGCCACATCCCTATCACCACCATCCCCTTTATTGAGACAGGAGCAGGCCAGGTTGGCTTTGAATTCACCATTTTCCTGCCTGTGCCTCCCAAGTGGTGGGATTACAGGTATGCAGCACATCAGCTAACAGCTCCAATTTTAAATGAGGTATCAGACCATGTGGGAAATACTAGATATCATTTGGTTTCACTTATCCTTGTTAATGACATTTCTTATTGTTAAGAGACAACAAAAATATTCCTGATTTTTGATTCTGTCATGCAGAAAATTAAACTATTCCTTTGTGTTCTGCATGATCTTGAGTGTAGATACACACATGTATCATGTCTTTATCTAACTGAAATGCAAACGAGGATGAAGTCAAGAAACAGAACCTGAGGCCAAGGATGCTTCTAAACATTTTATCATGTAGAGGACATTCCTTCACAAACAGAATTATCTGATCCAAAATGCCAAAATAGTGCTGCCATTGATAAGTCCTCATATGAGACGAAGAATATTGGCTTGGGAATTAAGACACATGGGTTTTGAAAATAAGGTAATAGGACAGACAAGCACATAATGGACTATCCTGGAATCCAAAGGATGGGCAGAAGGTCCCAGTTAAATCTAGACCAGAATATTCAAAGAGATCTTAAGACCCTTAGTCTGTCTTGAGTTTACATTAGTGTAATCAAATCTCTACATGCAATGAACTCACTGTCAATATTAGTATTCCATGCATGGACCCTTTTGGTTCATCATTGTTATCCTTAAAAAAAATTACTGAATATACAAAACAATAGATTTCTAAATTATGAACCATTGTTTTTAAAAAAGAAATAAAGAAGAAAAAGAACTCCTCGAAGCCCTGAATGTACAATTGGTAAAGTTCTGTCTAGGTTTAACTGTCAACACTATTTCCCACTTATCTACTTTGTAAGTCAAAGAACTGACAATTCATAATACAGGAAACAAATTATTAAAACAGAACTATAAAACCTTTTCTTACCTCTGAATAATTCTTAGAAACATTTTGAGAGGGTTGCTGTTTGGTAGATTTGAAAGCTAGAATGAAAAAGATGAAATACCCATTATGTATTTTTAAAAATAACTTAGAAAAATGTGTACATTTCTTTAGCTGGAGGTTTTTAAAGCTCTATCTGTAGAAACCCATGATGATCAATTGTAAAACCATTTGTTTTTTGAAATCTGAAGAGACACAGAATTACACTACCAAATAACTTAGTGCCTGTCAGTCTCATGCTTCTCTAGCTTTTTCAAACATAGTAATAAGCGGAATTCATAAATACACCCATATTAAAAATACTGTATAATAATATCAGATGAAATCCAATCACTCCACCAACTGAACTACAAGTATAATAAAGGTAAGCCTTTGAATCCTTTCCTTCTTTGTAGTCAATGTTAAGTTTTTTCTGTGGCTACATTAGGAGCTTTCTCATTCTCTTCTACCTTGGTGGCCATATCCAGTACCTAAGAAATACACCAGAGAGTAACTATACAAGATGGCAAGTGTTTTATTCCATGATCAATCTTTCTTCTAAATCCTTATGTTTTGCTTTATGAACTTGGCTAGAAACTTGAGATTAGGCTAACTCTTTTCCTTTTCACTTCTTTCCCCTTGAGATCAAAACTTACAATAATCTTCAAACATCTACTTGAGTTTATTTTCTCCTAAGTCTTGTCAGTTTTCTACTGTCAAACATACCTCCTCCAAGACAACACCCAATCTAAACAAGGCAAGGAAAGAAAGAGGATTTAAAAGCTAAACTCCCAGAGAATCCTTCAGAATCCTGTATCCTCCTAGTCAGAAGACTTCAGGAATCTTTCCACTTAGTCTAAATTTATTATTTGCTCACACTTCCCATTCCTGGTCCTATCCCCAATCATATGATGTTGGAAAGAAGATATGAAAGGCAAAAGTTTTTATCTGCTCTCTCAATTACTGGTCTTATTTCCTACTCTCCTAAAAAGGGTAGACAGGGCAAATGAATAGAAAAGCTAGTGATCCTGATGCTTTCAAAGACTATTTCTACTTGATACAATTCTTATTCATTAACTGTATCCTCAAACTCTGAGAACCTTGAAAATAAGAAACCTTTCTTTTAATCTCCAGTGGGTAGTAAAAGATGAATGCAGGCTTGTGAAATAAATTAACTTTGTCAGAAAATAAACACCATCGGGCTTGGTAGAATGGTACCAAGTGGTACAGTGCCTGCCTAGCAAGCAGAAAATAAGCACTATGTTCTGTTAGGAAGGCAATATATTATGGTGTTTAAGAGGTCTAGTTTTAGAGTTAGACACATTCTAACTTCCTCACTGAATAGCTGTAGATAAGTTCCTTGGCTTCTTTAAATTTCAATTTCCTCATCTGTAAAATAGTGCTAACAATTCATGTGGAAAACTGTTGTAAAGATAAAAAAGGTACTTAACAGAAATTGCTTTGGCAAGTGCCTAGGAGAAAGTAACCATTCACATATACAGAACTATTAGAGAATGTAGTGAACCACAGCAATCACATGTAAAGGCAATAGCTACACATGTATTTTATTAGCTCAGTCATTGTCCTCTGCTGACTAACTTCAAAGGAAAAAATGTAAGCTGTCAACTCTTACTTACAATTCCTGCTGGCTAAAGTGTAATTTCTACCTTTCTCAAAATTTCAGTACAACGAAAAATCTCATATTGCATGGAGCTTGTTATCATAGAATGTGACCTTTCTTTTTATTCCTCCATTTATAATGGAGAGCTAGAAGAAACGGTTTTAATTTTGCTTCTGTACCAATGTGATGACAAATACAGCTAGTACCTAGGATTATTTTGTTACAGGTTTAAAAAATCATCTAATCTAACCTGATAAAAATGTTTCACACATTTGTATTTAAAAAATCAGTTCATTTTTTTCCAAAAAGGTCCAATATTGGAAATAATTAGATAAATTAGCAAAACCATTAGATCAAATCAATTAAAGAGAAATTTAGATCAATGAGCTATATAACATCCACTTTGGGCTGGGGGGAGGTAAGTCAGTGAGTAAGCTCTTGCCTAGCATATGTGAGGCTTGAGTTTGATCCCCAGCAGTGAAAAAAAAAGTATATGCCAACTATCTTGACAAATTTATTATGAAACTCCCAATAATGTGGGTGTTGGTGACTCATGCATGTAATCCTAACTACTTGGGAGGCTGAGATTGGAAGATGGAGGTTTGAAGGCAGTCCACACAAAAACTTAGTGAGACCCCCTATCTTAACCAATGGCTGGGTACAGTGGCATGCACCTGTCATCCCATGCTACAAGGGAGGCTGATATGAGGACTATGGTTCCAGGTGAGCCTAGGCAAAAAAATTTGTAAGGTGAATAGAAAAAAGCTGGGTGTGGTGGTATGCACCTGACATCCCAGTGACAGCAGAAGGTTATTCTGAGGTTTACTGAATAACCATGGTTCATTCTTATTCAGAGCTTAATATGTATAGACATTGTGCCAGGTAACTCACAGGCATTTTCTCAGTAATTTTCAACACAACCCAATGAGGCAGAAGTAATCACCACCCATCTTACAGATGAGAACCCTGAAATTTAAAGATAAAAGTTTAACTAGCTAGTAAATTGAGGAGTTAGGATTCAAACCAAAGTCTTTCTGACTTTAGCACGATGCTCTGAACCTTTATAGTATACAATCTTTAAGTAATTTGTCATAGTTATTCTCAATCACTTAATGAGCATCTACTCTGTGCCAGGCACTGTAGATACAATAATGAATAGACACTTCTCACACACAGTTTGAGTGCTCTGAGCCAGCAGGTAAAGAGCTAGCTTGACTAAACTAAACCAGGACTGACTCCAGAGCCAGGTTTTCTACAAAATGCTATGCTGTACAAGGCAACACAGGAACATAATTTAGAAAATCTGAAGCTTTATAGTAATTTGATTTACAGACATAACTTCTTTCACAGACAAATAGTACTTTAAAACAATTAGTCAGGCCAATTTGTAAAACTCTTAAAGCACCTTAAACACTGATCTCATACCTCTACACTAAGATCTCTACACTAAGAGGAGCTTCGTTGCACTCTGTCAATGAGTAACAGAGTGGTAGTCACTAAAGGATGTTTTTGAAAGTCTCACTACCCTATAGAGTTCTGAAAGAAACTGATGTTTGAAAGTAAAAAATGCTCATAAAACTCCTATGAAACAGTCCTCAATGCAAAGAAGTCAGTCATATGTGAGTTTCAAATAAATAAGGATAAAATATCCATCTCTATTCATCATAGGCTAGGTTATTTGGATAAATACTTCTGGTGAAAACAACGCAAGTTGCTGTCTTAAAACATTTTCCTGAGGACACCTCTGGGAAAATGTTAACATTGGTGGTCTTCAGAGTCTTAGAGGAAAAGGGAGAGAGCTACCATCTGCCAAAGCCTGCCCAAGGTGGGGAGCCCAATGTATCTTCTCCCAACCATAAGCTGGGACCCCATGCACCACCTGACTGGTCCAGATAATCCTCAAGTTACACATTTGGTTCAAGTGTTTTAAAATCTGAGGTACCCTACAAGCCTGAAGAGACAAACATGAACCTTCTCTGGAGAAAGAGAGCTTTACTCAAGGTCACAGATTATTCCTTCCAATAATTTTCTAGGAACAAGAGATAAGTTTCCATATTTGAGAGGTAACAAAAATGGAAAGCAGAAAAAGCTAAAGACTTTATTCAGATTTAGATCTGGTTATTAGGCACAAAACACAAAACAAGTATGCTTACTATGCACATGAAAATAATTAAAAACAGGTCTAAAAATAGCTGCTGGGAATTTTAAAAAAACTATTAAAAGTGACATGTTATTTTTAAAGAATGATATAGAATTTCTACACCACTACTCCCAGAAACAATAAAAATTAAAAATTCAAGAGACAGTTTTGGCAGCACTAGGGTTTGAACTCAGGGACTCATGCTTTCTAGGCAGGTGCTCTACTGCTCGATCCATGCCACTAGCCTCAAAGAGTTTTAAGAATAGATGAGTGAGTTACAAGGCTGATCAGATCTAATTATTTAGAATGTAGTTCAGGAAGAGAAAACAGAAAACACAAGAGAAGTTGAGTCTTGGGAGAACAGAATGAAAACATCTCACATTTATTTTTACTGAAGAACCAGAGGGAGGAGTAAAAGAGTAAGAGGTAATACCTGAAGGGAAAACAGTTAAGGATTTTTTAAAAATGATGAAAGATACCAATTTACAAATTGTGAAGTCCAATAAATCCTAAAGCAGGATAAAAAAAGAATACCATATTTAGATTTGTGATAGCAAAACTGTAGAATACCAAAGACAGAAAGCTGAGTGAAAAAAAACAGGTAACTTAAAAAAAGCAGCAAATTTAATAGCTCATACCTTATCAACAATTGTGGGAACAGAAAGACTCTCTCTAAGTAACAATTCTACCCACTGGTGTCAAGAAAACCTTCAAATAAATGAAGACAGGATAAGAAAAGGCACTCTGAGCTAAGGTAAAGGCAGGTAATCTATGACCTATGATCATGACTATGGCATGCAAACCAACTTCTGGTGGTTTAACACGGGAAGCATTCATATTTTACTCACTCTTTTTCTATGTTCCTCTTTTTTCCCATTTTTTTATAATAACATTTTGTAAGTGAATATTAATGTATCAGGCTTTTTTTCCATTTATTTTTCAGAACAACCTACTATAAGATGGATTATAATTCGCAATTTTCATATAAACAGCTTAGAACAGTGAGTGACTTGTCTAAAGTCACAGAGCTTTTCCATGTTGAACTTGGAGTACTGAAGTACTGAATAATACTTGAGTAAAAACACAGTAATAGAATTTTTATAAAAAAGTCCTGAAGAGTCTTTGTTGATCTGATGTTTGTGTTCTTTCTTTAATGTCACTATTATTTAATAAAGGTTGAAAACTTCCTTTAAGGGAAGTTAAGATGCCTTTCTAAGGCAGCTTATTCCATCTTTGTATTAATTAGTTTATTCTGTATAATCCAAAGTCTCCTAAAAATCAGTAGCTAGCTTTTTCTATGCATTCATGATCCCTCTGTGAAAGGTAAATAATTACACTGTCTGAAAGTAGGAGACCATAAAATTTTTTTAAAGCTTACTTTCTTAAATAGTTCTGAGGCGATCTTAAAAAAAAAAATTTATCCTGTGATCTTAATTTTTAACTCTAATGAATGCAACATGAGTAAATGAGAGCTACTAATGGGGATTTTCTTAGTCTTCCTATGTTGGAATTTATAAGTAATTGCTAGCCCAAAGTACATACTCACCATCTGTAATAGACATATTTCTAGATGTTGACACAGTGGCCTTTGAGCTCCTGCTTCGAGTATAAGTCTCCAGAACAGTGCCTGTTATTAGAATAATGAACAGTTAATATACAATCCAATCAGTAGCTAAGGCCAAAATGAAAGCTAAATACTTTTATGTCAAAACTGTTTTATAAAAAAGCTAAAGGCATATATATAAGAAAAAAATATAGAGTCTGACCAATCAATTTTTAGACTTTGTTGTTTGTTTTTTAGATAGGTCTCACTATGTAGTCCAGGCTAGCCTCAGACTCACATTCCCCACGTCTCAGCTTCCCAAGAGCTGAGATTAACATGCCTAGCTCTGAGTTTTTCAGGCCACATCTGAATCACACATGTCCAGCTAAATTTTAAAAAAAATTATAAATGTAGTGATAATGAAATTTATCATTATTAGAGGGTGGAAATTTTTTTCCCTAGAGATTTTAAACTAAATTACTATCCATTTTATCAGCTTAAAATTCCTGCAGGTAAGAACTTAAAGAAAACAATTAAAAAATTTCCCTAGAGATGGATTTTTATAATACGTCAGGAAGTTACTAGATGACCATTTTTTATTGTTTGAACTATTCAAAGACAATGGTGTCACATTAAATGCAGTGATGACAGCTAATGTTAATGATTGCTTTTAGGAATAAAAATTGTCTTGGGGAAGTTTTTCTTTTTTTGTTGTTATTGGTATTGGGAGTTGAACTCAGGACTAGGCTGGCGCTCTACCACTTGAGCCACTTCTGCCAGCCCATTAGTTTTCCTTTTTAAACATATTTTATGGAGACTACTTTATATGCATGCAGGTATTTTATGACAGTAATAAAAATAGCAATTTTTATGATCTGAAATAGCTATCAGTCATTTTCCTTAATAATTAATATTTGTCTCATTGTTACTTTGGGTACTAAATGTACCCAAATAGTACTATGCGAGGCTCACAATGAAGCTTTTAAAAAATATGTTGTGTGTGGCCATTCAAAATTCATTCAAGGAACAAATGTATCTCTGAAATGCACTAAAGACTGTCATTATGCATTTTAAAGATAAATTTTTAAGGAATTATGCTTTAAAAACAAAACCAACAACTTTGAACACAATATACAATTCAGTATTTCCCATTTAGCTTCTAGTCCAAGGTGTATAAAGATGGTATCTGGTGCTGACCTCTGCTTCTATGAGCTGCTTCTCTCAGTGCAGAATTTTGCCCCCTGCCTCCTCTTCGCCCTCTACCTCGGCCTCTTCCTCTGTTGTGTGCTGCTGAGATACTGTCATCAGAGTCATTTGCCGTCTGTTCTGCTAAATCTATACTCATGAGGTCATCAGTACTGAAGGCAGAAGCAGAGTCTTCCAACTGAGACCTGAGAGCTCTGGCCCTATTCATTGCCTGGGTAGCAAGAAGAAAGTACACTTTAGCAAATAACGCACCATCCTGACAATCACTGATTCAGTCATTCACATGAAGATTTCATATTATTAAAGTGCCTACATTACCATTTTCACTAACCGTGCCATAATAATGTAAAGGCGGACTCCCGACCAATCAAATTCAATGCCAATTATCAGATCAATTTATGATATAAATTGATCTGTAAAAAGAGACCTTCTATAAAGGTTTACCAAGAAAAACAGATTTTCACAGAATCAAAACTTTCAGAACTGGAAGGAATATTGGCAATCACCCACCTCTAATTCAATACTGTATTTGTAAGAGATAGGCACTGAGGTACTTTGGAGAATGGGCTCTTAATAAACAAGGAAAATACTGGGGATGTGGCTCAAGTGGTAGAGTGCCTGTTTTGCAAGTGTGAAGCCTTGAGTTCAAACTCCAGTCCTGCCAAAAATAAAAGAAAAAAACCTGCAAAAATTAGCTGTTATCTCTGGAGGCTTTCTTCGTGCTTTCACACTATTGAAATAACAGTGGATTATCTATTCTTCGAAAATTTGTTAGAATTTACCTTTGAAACTTTCTGGTTATCATCCCTTTGGGGATGTTTTTCTTTTGGCTCTATAGCAAATGGGATTACAGGTGTAAGCTACCACATTAAGTAACATGTTAACTATGTCCTTTCTGTACAGCGGAGCTTGTGGAGTTTATTGATCTCTAGTAGTTTCTCATCAGCCCAAACTGAAACTCTATATACAATCAATAATACTGCCCATTCCCCACAGTCCCTGTAACCACTATTCTACTTTCTGTCCCTATGACTTGAATAATACAGGTACCTCACATAAGTGGGATCATATAATATCTGTCCACTTTCACTTGTGTTTTTTCCACTTAGCATGTTTTGAAGTATCATCCATGTTAGGCATTAAAACATAACAAATATAAGAAAAACTTAAACAATTTCTTGTATCATAATGGAAAAAAATTAGAGATAAATAGCAAAAGAAACTATAAACACGTGGATGTTGAACAATACACTGCTGAATGACTACTTGATAGTTGAAGATATCAAGGAGGAGATTTAAAAATTCCTAGAATCAAAAATAACCAAATGATGTACCTCATTAGAAAAAGACCAAGCTAAAACCAAACCTAGTAGACAGAAAGAAATAATAAAGATCAGGGTAGAAATTAATGAAATGGAGATCCAAATAACAAAACAAACTATCACTAAAACTAAGGGTTGGTTCTTTGTAAAAATAAGATTGATAAACCCTTATCATGAGAGAGAAAGAAGACTCAAATCAAAATTACAGATGAAAAGGGGACATTACAAAAGATACTGATGAAATCCAGACGATCACTAAGGAAATGTTTTGAAAATTTATACTCCAATAAATTGGAAAATCTAGAAGAACTGGGTACATTTCTAGACACATATGACCTTTCAAAATTGACCAAGAGGATGTAAACCATTTAAACAGTAATAGTCTCCCAATGAAGAAAAGCCTGGGACCAGATGAATTTGCTGTTTAATTCTACCAGACCTTTAAAGAAGAACTAACATCAATGCTCCTCCAACTAGTCCAGAAAATAGAAAGGGAAGAAACACTACCAAACTCATTTTACAAAGACAGTATTACACTAATACCAAAACCTCATGAGTACCCAACAAAAAAACTACACACCAATTTCCTTAGTGAACACCAATGTGAAAACCCTCAATAGAATATTTACAAACCAAATTCAGGAACACATTAAAAGGATCAAACACCGTAACTGAGTTGGTTTCATTCCAGGGCTACAAGGATAGTTCAACATGCGCAAACTGATAAAACATAAATCAGGACACAAACTGAATAAAGGACAAAAACTAAATAATCATCAATAAATGCAGAAAGCCTTTGACAAAATCTCTTCATGGTGAAAGCCCTGAAGAAACTAGGCATAGAAGGTTCAACACATCAAAGGCTACACATGGCAAACCTAGCCCACATCATACTAAGGAAAAACTGAATTCCTTCTAAAACCAGAAATGAAATAAGGGTGTTCACTCTGTCCTCTCTTATTTAATACAGTGCTTGAATTCTTAGTTGGAGCAATAGGCAAGAGAAAAAAATAAGAGGAATAAAAAAAGGAAAGGAAAAAGTCAAATTATCCCTCATTGTAGAAGATATGATGCTACACTTATGAAACCATAAAGATTCCACCAAAGACACTCCTAAATCTGGTAAACACTTTCAGCAAAGGAGCAGTATAAAAAAATCAACATACAAAAATCCATAGCTTTTCTATATACTAATAATGAACAGACTAAGAACGAAATCAGGAAAACAACCCCATTGACAATAGATGAAAAAAAGATAAATATCAAGGAATAAACTTAACCAAGAGAAAAAACTTCTCAGTGAAAACTGTAAACACAGAAGAAAGAAACTGATGAAGACACAAGATGATTGAGAAACCTCCCATGTTCATGGATCAGCAGAATTAACACTGTGAAATTGGCCATATTACTGAAAGCAACCTACAGATTCAATTCTAGAAGTGGAAAGTTCCTAAAATTCATATGGAAGGAAAAAGATCTCAAATAGACAAAGTAATTCTAAGCATAAAGAGCAATGCTTGATTTCAAATTATACTATATAGCCAGAGTAACAAAAACAGCCTGGTACTGGCTAAAACCAGATAACCCACTGGAATAAAATATAGCACCCAGAGATAAACCCACACAGATGGCAGTGAGCAGATTCTTGACAAAAGTGCCAAAAATACACATTAGAGAAAAGACAGCCTTTTCAACAAAGGGTGTTGGGAAAACACCCTTTGAATATCCTTAGGTAGAAGTCTGAAACTAGATCCCTATCTTCTACCTTATGTAAAAGTCAACTCGAGCAGATCAAAGACCTAAATGTAAGCCTAAAACTTTGAAACTACTTCAGGAAAACAGAGAAAATACTTCAAGATACAGTCACAGGCAAAATTCCATTTATCCTAAGCAGAATAACTGTCATCAAGAAAGCGAACTACAAATGTTGGTGAGGATGTAGGGGAAAACTGAACACTTATACATTGTTGATGGAATATACATTAAGACAAGCCACCATGGGAATCAGATCAGTGATTTCTCAAAAAACTAAAATTAGAGCCACTATGATCTGGCCATATTCCCTTGGGCATATACTTGAAGGACTCAAAGTCAATATACAAGATAGATAACTGTACATTCATGTTTATCTCAGTATTATTTGCAATAGCCAGGCATGAAATCAGTGTAGGTGTTCATCAAACAGATGAATGAATAAAAAAACATGTGCAATACATATATAATGGAGTATTTAGCCATAATGAAAAATAAAATACCATTTGTAAGAAAATGGGTAGATCTGGAGAGCATCATGATTAGTGAAATAAGTCATACCCAGACAAATAATACATATTTTCTCTTGTATGTGGAATATAGATTAAAAAAAAGACATGAAATTCAAAGGGCAACTACCTTGGAAGAGAAGGGGCTAGTGGGAGGGGGCAGGGAGAAGAAAGGGTTACTTAGGGTGAACATGGTCAAAGCACATCGTATACCTGTATGAAAATGTCATAAAAACCCCAGTATTTTCTAATTAATATAAGCTAATAATTTTTTTTAAATTCGAGATTTTTCCATGTAAATGAGAGGCTTTAAAGTGTATATATATATAAAGTGTATATATTACTGTGTGTGTGTGTGTGTGTGTGTATACGTATACACCTTATATAATATGCACATATATATATATTTTAAACTGGAAAGATAATACTTTTGTTTTTGCATTTGTTTAAATAATTTAAGCATGATGCAAGAATTCATATTCAAGCTCAATGATTTTTCATGGCTGTGAATTACATCTTAAGAAAGTGTCAAACTCTATTAACCCAAATGCTAAATAAGATGCTGAGGCTGAATACTTTTAACATTCTATGCCATGCTGAAAAATCACTTAGTGCTATGTGTCCTCTGAATTTTATGCTTTGGAACCTTAACCCCCACAAATCATGGGTCACGATGTCTCTGTTCTCACAAATGGATTAATGAGTTCATAGGCTTTCAAGGGAGTGGCCATGCTATTGTCCATTAGGAGGCCATCACCAAATGCTTGGCAGATGCTGGCACCATGTTCTTTGGACTTCCTGGCTTCCAGTAATGGCAGTTCAAAAGAGGTCTAGTTTTTATAAATTATGTGATCCTAAGGCATTTTGTTACAGCAAAAAAGAAAATGGACTAAGACAACCAGGAAGCCATAGTGACACGCAAGTCTTACAATAAAGCTAAAAGTCTAAACTTAAATGTTTTCTTATGAAAGATTCCCACCCCCCTTTAATGGTACTGAGGTTTGAACTCAAGGCCTTTCTTGTGCTAGGTAAGTGTTCTACCACTTGTGCCACCCCTCCATCCCTTTTTTGCATTAGCTATTTTTCAGATAGGGCTTGCTTTTTGCTGGGGTCAACCTGGGACCATGATCCTCCTACCTGTACATTCCACCTGCTGGGATTATAGACATGTACTTTTGTGCCTGGGAAGAATTCCATTTTAAATCTGTCATATCCTTCCTTTCCTTATATAAAATACTCACTTTATTTTTCTTTGTGGTGCTACTTCACCATACTGTGTCACTGAGCTGTGACCCCAGCCTCAACTTTCACTTTTCAAAAGATTAATGGAAAATTGACGTTAGTGGCTTCAAACACAAAGGATCCACTAAAAAAGAAGTGTTTCTGTAATCTGTTAAATCAAAAGGACTAATCAAGATTAATGCCAACGATCCAAGAGGCAGGAGACATCACTTTCTAGCATACAGTTTTGCCATTTGGCAACCTCTTCTGTTTTTAAGAGCACCTTTTAAGATGAATACAAATTTAATAAATGTGGTAAGGGATCCCTAATCTATTGCTTCTCCTTAGCTTCCAAAAAGCAACCTATAAAAGACACCGTAGGCATTTATGCATACTAACAAGAATGGCTTTGAAATGCTCCATGACAGTTTTAAAATTTTAGCCATTCTTTCTTTGGCTGTGCACTAATATTATGATAATTTAAAATTTGTATAAGACATAGACTAGTAAAAAAATCTAGACATGGAAGCAGAAACAGGTTCAAAGTCAAGTGCCAAAATGAGAACTTGAGTTTGGTATTAGTCTCCTCATTTATAAAATAGGAACTGACAAAGTGTACGTAAGATGCCTATCAAAAAATATTCAATAAATATATTCTTTAGACATACATCTCTCACTTATAAACTGAGAGAATTTTATGGATACATACCATACTTTTTCATTGCACTCCTAATAAAAAGCACAAGGTCTATGTGCTTACTATGCAAAAAGTATGCTGACTGTAAGCACTCAAGAAAAAAAAACAAAACACAGCAAGGCACAGTGGTTCATACCTATAATCCCAGACATGCAGGAATCAGAGAATGGGAGGTTCGAGGTTCAGGTCCAGCTTAGGAAAAAAGTTAGTCAGACTCCATCTTAACAAACAAGCTATACATGATGGCATATCCCAGTAATCCCATCTATGTGGAAAGTATAGGTAGGATGATTGTGGCCCAGACCATCCCAGGAAAAAAGCAAAACCCTATCTGAAAAAAATAACTAAAGCAAAAAGTGGTGTTTGAGTGTCGCATGGTAGAGTACCTGCCTTGTAAAGTGCAAGGCCCTGAGTCCTAAGTATAAACCCCAGTACTACCCAAGACAAAGCATAACAAACAAACAACAAAAAAAGAAAAACACCCAAAACTTATAAATTAACTTTGAAATACCATGTAGCAATCATAAAACACTAAAAATAATCAGAAAATAGGAAAGTTTTAATGAGTTCATCAAACACAAGATAAAGGCCCAAAAATTTAATAAGTGGTTGCTAACTTATCGTTCCTAACCTGCAATGAGCCTGAGAAAAGAGCAATGTGGTGCCTAACCTAATTTTAACACTTCATAACAGATAAGGGAAACTGCCTAATTTTCCACAGTAACACTGTTAGTCAAAATACTAAGTTTTTAATTTTTCTTGCCTTAAATCCTATCAGCTCTATAAGGTATGATTTTATCTTATATAGGTAAGATGGTCTGATAGCAATGAAACATGGTTCTGATTAAGAACTTTTTATATATGTCCCCCACATACAAATAAGTTTTAGACAAAGGCAGAAGGAAACAAACAGCAATGACAGTAAGCAAAATACTCATAAGCTGAAATAAACTCAACTGAAATAGACCAAAAGTTGCTATCTTAAGCCAGCCCCAGCCACTTCCTGCACACTACACCCACGGATGGACTATTCTATATAAACCTACTAGCCACTGCAGTTTAACAAATTAACTTATGAGTATAGGAATTTGCAGCAGAAAAATTACCTCTCGAACTTCATTATCTTCTTCATTAGTATTTTTTTGTCTGCTTTCTCTGAAACGACGCACCTAAATAATGAACAGAGTATGGTCATAATAGAGTAACATGTTGCTTATTCTGCTTATGTAAATATAAAATAAGGGCTAAAATTAAGAAATAACTTTCATTATAACACAAAACTTGTAAATTTAACCATAGTTCTTCTCACAAAAGACTAGTAAATACATATTTCCCAGTTACATGCATTAAAATCAGAAATGTATTCTAAAAATATTGGCTCTAAGCAAAATTATATTACCTGTTGTCAAAGTATTTTATCAATGAAAAACAGTTGGTCAGACTGTAAAGAAAAAAAAAAAACCCTAATATCCTATGGTCACTATATCTCAGTAAAATGGTTATAAAAGTATCTTTTATGAGTCTTGAAATTTTTATTACATTGCTCAATTTACTCTTGTACGCCTGGCTGCAAGATACTCTGAAGGCTCTCTGCTATGGTATCTGAAGTGAGCGGGGCCCTGAATACTATTTTTATCAGTAGTCAACTACTGAATATCTGGGGACTGTGGCCCTGGAACCATGAGTGTTACTACAGATTTCTTTGCTAATGGTTCACAAGGCTTATAATATAGCTATATAGTGAGAGGTAAGTCCCATTTAACAATCTACCAAGCACATTTTACTGAGCATTAACTATTGCAGGAAATAAGAACATAAAAATGAACAAAAGTAGTCAAAATTCTATTCTCTCAAACTTTACAATCTAGTGAGCATACTGGAGAGAGGGCAGCCAATAACGTAACAAGAAGTTGTATTGTCTAAGGCATCTAGGACCAAGTTAATTAAAAAAAAAATAGCATACATTAATTATACAAAAGATTTCACTGTTAATTCCATATCATCTACTTTAATAAATTCACCTCTTCAATTTCACCCCTATAACTACCTTTCCTCCAGCCAATTTTCAAACAGTATTTAGTGGGTTTAATTATATCTTCACATATATACATGTGCTGTGATTCAATCATATTCACTACTATACTCCCTCCTTTCTACCACCTCCTCTTCTGATCTGTTCCAGAGTCCCAATTTTATGCTTATATCACATTATTCTTGTTAACATTTTAGGCCTAGATTCCACATGTGGGTGGAATCACACAGTATTTGACTTTTTGACCTTGGCTTATCTTGCTTAACATGATAATCTCCAGTTCCTGTATTTCCTTGCAAACGACATAATTTCATTCTTCTTTATGGCTGAATATTATTTCCTTGTGCATTTATACATTACAGTTTCATCATCATCGATAGATGGGTATCTAGGCTGATTCTATAGCTTAGTTAGTATGAACAGTGCTGTGATAAACAGAGGTGTGCAGTATCTCTAGTATATGTTGATTTACAGTCCTTCAGATATATAATCAGAGTTACAGCACAGCAGGGTCATAAAGCAGGTCTGTTTTTAGTTTCTTGAGGAGCCTCCATTCTGATTTCCACAGTGGCTTGACTAATTTAAATTCCCAGCAACAGTTGCTTTCCTACCACATCCTCACCAGAATTTGCTATTGTTTGTTTTCTAGCTGATTGTCATTCTGACTGGAAAGAGACACAATTTCAGGGTCACTTTGGTTCACATTTCCTTCATGGCTAAGGATGTTGATGAACATTTCTTCATGCACTTATTAGTCATTTGTATCTCCTCTTTTTAAGAACTGTTCAATTCACCTGCCCATTTATTAATTGGGTTACCTGTTCCTCTACTGTTTAATTTTTTGAGCTCTTTATATAGTGCAGAAGCTTTTTAATTTGATATAATCACATTTGTCAACTCTTGCTTTTATTTCCTGGCCAACGGGAGTCATGTTCAGAAAATAACTGCATATGCCTATATCTTCAAGTATTTTTCTGCAGTAGTTTCAAAGTTTCAGTTCTTATATTAAGATATGTGATCCATTTTGTATTGATTTTTGTATAGATAGGGATCTAGTTTCAGTCTTCTACATGTGAATATCCCGTTTTCTTAGCAGCATTTGCTGCAGAGATTTGTCTTTTCTCCAACATATTTTTGGCTCCTTTGTTGAAAATTATGTGGCTCATTTTCTGGATTTATTTCTGGATCTCCTGTTCTATTCCAGTGGTCTATGTGTGTGTTTTTGTGCCAGTACCATTGGTCTAACATGTTGGTTTTGTTTCCATGGCTGTGTAGTATAACTTGAAATGAAGTATTAAGATATCTCCAGCATTGCTCTTTTTGTACTACATTGCTCTATTTGGGGAGGGTCTATTGTACTTCCATGTGAATGTTCGTATAGATTTTTCTATTTCTGTGAAGAATGACATTGAGATTTTTGAAGGGAATTTGCACTGAATTTTTAAATCGCTTTTGGTAATATAGCCATTCACAATATTAACTCTGCCATAAATTTGGAAGGTCTTTCCATCTTCTACTGTTTTCTTCAATTTCTTTCTTGAAGGTTTTAGTTTTCTCTGTAGAAGTGTTGCACTTCTTAAGTTTATTCCTGGGTTATTTTGCTTTTTGATGCTATTGTCAATGGGATTTGTTTTCCTCATTTCTCAGCCTATATATTGTCGGTATATAGAAAAAAATTTTATATGTTAATTTTGTATCCTGCTACCTTGTTGGAAGAATTATCAGATAGAGTTTTTTTTCTGGTGGTATTGAGAGTCTTTTATGTATATGATTAGATTCTGCAAAAGGGGATAAACTGACTTCTTCCTTCCTGTTTGTATGCCCCTTTCTTCCCTTTTCTCTTGCCTTATTGCTCTAGCTAGGAATTCATGCAATATCTTGAATTGTCTTCTCCCTAATTTTAAAGAAATTAGTTTTTGCTTTTCTCTGTTTAGTAGGATGTTGGCTATAGGTTTGTTCTATATAGCTTGTATTATAATAAGGTATGTTCTTTCTACTCCTAATTTCTTCATAGCTTTTATCATGAAGGAATGTTGAATTTTGGCAAAGGCTTTTCCTGTAGCTATTGAGATGATCGTGTGGTTTTATGGTTTACGTGCTATATTATGATTTATATATCCCTGGAATGAAACCAACTTGATCATGGCATATAATCTTCTTAATGTGTTACTAAATTCAGTCTGCAAGTATTTTATTGAGAATTTTTGCAGTGAAGTGAGTCAAGAAATGGATGTATAATTTTTATTTTGGTTGTGTTCTTATTAGGTTTTGGATCAGGTAAAACTGGTCTCATAGCATGAGTTTGGTAGCATTTCTTCCCTTTACATTTTATGGAATAGTTTGAGAATTGGTTTTAGTTCTTTTTTAAAGGTTTGGTAAAATTTTACAGTGAATCCATCCAGTCTGAGCTTTTCTTTGTTGGGAGACTCTATTATGCTTTAATCTCATTATTTATCACAGATCTGTTCAAGTGATTTATATACCATTGGTTCAGTTTTAGTAAGTTATATGCATCTAGAAATTTATCCATTTCTTCTGTATTTTCCAGTTTATTACAGTATAAGCTGTCAAAGTATTCATTAAAGATCCTCTGAATTTCACTGTTTTTTGTTGATACTCCCCTTTTCATCTCTAATTTTATTAACTTGGGTCCTCTCTTTTGGTTAGTCTGGCTAAGGGGTTATCAATCTTGTTTATCTTTTCAAAGAAGTAACTCTTTGTACCACTGATTCTTTTGTCTTTTTTTAGTTTCTATTTCATTAATTAACATCCTAACTTGATTATTTCTTTCTGCTTCCTAAGTCTAGGTTTGTTTTCCTAAGTGCTTGGGTCATTAGGTTATTTGAGATGTCTCTTATTTTTTAAATTTTGGCACTCATAGCTATAAACTTTCTTCTTAGCACTGCCTTTGCTGTATCTAAAAGGTTCTGGTAAGCTGTGTTTTCATTTTCATTTGATTTTAGGAATTTCTGTATTTCTTCCCTTATTTCTTTGATGATCCACTGGTCATTCAACAGTGTATTAACAAATCCAACACATACAGAGTCACAGAATGAGTGGTTTTTAAAAGTACATGGCATTGAGTAACACTAGTTACACAATAATATCATAAGGCTTTAAGAGAACCATGCTAATTAAATGCATTACAATGAAAGCCAAAGGGAATATGTTTTTGAAATAATGTTGTTTTGTTCTTCCATTTAAAGGGAATTTGAGAAATATAGAAAGTAATCCTCTGTAATCCAAATATGGAATTATAACTGTTAATAGTATCTTTGGCATATTTGCATTCTTTATTTACAGGCACATAACATACTCACATATATGATAAAAACAAGTGGGATCATATCATGCATAGCTTAGAATTCTTTTCTTGTTTAATACTATATTGGAAATGTTTTTCTGCATTCTTCAAAAATGTAATTTTTAATGACTATAAAGAATTCTGTATGCCAATATTTAATGTATTAAAATATTTCCAATTATTTCTCACTGTAAATGACACTGAGATTAATTATCTCATACATTAATCTTTATCTTACTATTTTCTTAGAAAAGTCTCTCAGGGCTGAATAAATGGTAAGCCTTAGTTGGCCACTTGATACACTCTGCCAAGCTGCTTTTCAATAGATATTCAAACATAATCCTTCTATCAGCAGTGTACTTACAAATTACTAGTTTTCTCAAATCCCTGTCAATTTAACAAATAAAAAATACACTTACATTTAAATTTCTCTGATTATTCCTGGCTAAATACTATTTTCATATGCTTATTAGCAATTCATATTTCTTTTGTGAACTACCTATTCACGTTCTTGACTTATTATTCTACTGAAATGTTCAGTATTTTTAAAGGTTTATATTAAAGAAGTCTTTAAGATATTAAGAATATTAACTTTTTTCTGCCTGCATACAAATATTTTCTCCATGTCAGCATCTTTTTGCAATTTTACATGTGAACATTTAAACTTCTATATATTCAAATCTTAACAGTGCTTTTATGCTTTAGTGAGAACAAATGCTCTAGATGAGATTCAAAAGCTCAATCAAAATTGACTAAAACAATAAAATAAGCTGGAATTTTCAGCCTACCAGTTCATTTTAAAGCATTCTCGAGAGCAAATATTTTCTAAAAGAATAAAATGAATGCTTATTCAGTATCAACTTTATGTAAGATTCTGTTCTAGGTACTTTCTAGACATTTTCTCAATTATTTTTTATTATTTCAATTTTGCAGAAAAGGAAACTGAACAAATTAAAGATTAAAAACTAGATTATCAGAAAAAACTCAGGGCTACTCTTAAGGAAAGACTGTCTAAATAGATTTGTGCATTTAAACTAGTTACTCACCTCTTCATCGATTTTATCCTCTAGGGCATCGACATGACGTTCTTTAAGAAATCTCTGTGTTTTTTCCAACTGGTATTTCACCAATTCTTCAATGGCATCTTTTTCTTCCTTGTCTACAAATTCTTGTACTGCCTCACCCATCCCTCTTTCTGTTAGCAGTGAGAGCTGAACATTCTGTGTGAGAGGTACAAACTACTAGATGCAGAAATTATATCTATTTCTTACAAAATTTTATCTATTTCTTACAAAATAATTATAGATGAGGAAGCAGAATTAAAATAATGTTATACAGGGAAAAAGGTAAAAGAAGTTACCTAGTTATTGAAGGAAAAAACCACCCAAATTGTAGACAGCACTTAAACCTGATAAAAATTAAGGGTCAGAAAAAGCAAAGTCAGACCAAGAAAAGGAAGGGGAGTCTCAGTCAGGTGAAGGTGTAGAGGCCTGAAACTGAGCTAGAGTCTAGAAATGGCCACAGACGATTACTAGAGATTAGGTTAATCCACTGTTGTAGGCAAGATAATGGCCCCCTTAAAACTGTCCACATCTTAATCTCTGAAACTGTGAATATACTACATGGCAAAGGGGAATCTTAGGCTGCAGATGGAATCAAGGCTGCAAATCAGCTTACTATAAAATAGGAAAATTATTAGGGACTCTCCAGATGGACCCAGTGTAATCACAAGGGTCCTGAAAAAAAGAAGATGGAGGTAGAATAAGTCAGAGGGAGATGTAGCTGGGAAAATGGTCAGAGATACAACATTGCTGGTTTTGAAGGATGAAATCGACCAAGGATCAAGAAATGGAAGCACCTCTGGAAACTGGAAACTTCTTTAGAGCATCCAGAAATGAACATAGCCCAGCTGATTTCAGTCTAATGAAACCTGAATCAGATTTCTGACCTTCAGAACTACAAGACAATAAATTAGTCTTGTTTTACACAAATACAACTAGAGGATCTCAGAGTGGCATACCCTCGTGATAGTAAGTTTGAGTAGCTTTACAATCATGTGGTTGTATTTGCAAAGTAATCCTAAAATTATATCCTAACAATAAGAAAATCAAATCCTGGATTAAGACTTTTGCAGTAGAGACAAAAAGAGAAAGGAAAACATCAACAATGATAGCCACATTAATAATGATATGTAATTTTCTAAACATTAATTTTTCTTGTGCAGTAAGCACAGATGAATATAACTCAATATCATCGTACTTACTTCGTAGAATCATTGTGAGGAGTACTTTATCAATTATACATATCCTAAATTAAAATGTTTCAACACAGCTATTTAAAATGTACACTGTTAAGAAATTACCTTCTCTGCAGTTTGAAAATATTGTTTTACAAGGTCTTCTACCCTGAGGGTTGTGCCTTCTGAAGGTTTTGTGATAAGTTTCCCAAAGTGGATCTCTTCTCCTAGAAAAAATAAATCATCAAAAAAATTGCAGTTTCTATCATAATGGAACAAATTCTCTGCAGAATTCTCTGTCAGTGGAGGAGGATGGTCAAACTTTATCAACTGCAGGTTTGCTCAACATGGCAAACTGTGAGGCAAAAGAAGCCATTTCTTTTAATAACCAGTTTTTTTTCCCTTCTACAGTCAGTATTTGCTTTCTCTATCTTTAAGGAGTATGTTTCATAAGGTGACCCCAGACTTCTGGAGGTTCCCAAAACACTTTTAGGGAGAGTGCAAAGTCAAGCCAACTCTCATGTTAATATTAACATGTATTAGCCTTTTTCACTAGTGCCCTGGGTAGAGTGAAGGTAGTGGTCCAAAACTCTACTACGAGTCACTACCATGTATTTACAGTTCAAAACAAAACAAGCCACTTTCCCTTCAAATTCTCCTAACGAACTTATGCTGCATTGCTAAACAGTATGACTGTCTGAAAACACAGCAGGCATAGGAACATGAAGAGTGCTGCACAGGAAGCACTGTGGAAGGAACATAGGGTTCAGTATTAGCAATAATCTTTGTCAGGTAAGTGAATATTAAGTGTATGGCACGTGTGGGACCTCATGCTAAAAACAAAATGATGAAAACTTGAGATTTCCTTCTATGAGAATAAATGATGACAATACAAGGTAGTAAGTGCTAGAGAGAATGTGACATATAGAAGAAAGCAATTAATTCCTCTCAAAGAAAGCTGAACATAATTAGGCAACAAATGCAGCCACCATTTGATACAAGAGCTACAGAATGAGTAAGATTCACTAAGCAAAAGAAGGACAGAAAAATATTTTCAGCAGAGGAAAAATATATACAAAGGCCTAGGAGGAAAAGAGACACAAAGTTCACTGTCTCTTGCCAAGTAAACAAAAATCTTATTTCTGTTTCAAGGCAGGATAGTTAATACACTTCATACTTGCTAGACACATTATTTAATCCTCACAATAATCCTGAAGTTGACACATTTATTATCCCAGTTTACAGATGATACAGATGGTAACTCTAAATAACAGAGAAGTTGTTAATTTGCACAATGTCACATGCATAGTCAAGTGGCACAGCTGGTCAAAACAACAAAATGTTTTCAATAAAACATACAATTAACATTGTTTCCACTGAGCAATTTAAGTTTAAACAACAACAAAATAATCACCAGGACAAAACTCATTAGGGGTAAAACTCAAGTAGAATATGGTACTACTGCATATTTTGATTTTTTATGAATGCTACACCCATGAGGTTTCCAAGAATTGATAAACAATTAAAGTAAATGTTATCAAGAAATACCTAATTAAAATTCATAACAAAAATACAACTTTCTGATAAGGCTTTCTTTCCCTTAGAACATTACTATATGAGCTACATTTAAATAACTACATGATTATTTCAAGTTAAATTCTCAGCATACTTAATCTTTATCACAATCTGACAGTAAAAATGGAATTCCATTAAGTCTGGGCTAATAAAAACCAGAATAGCTTACTTGTAAACAAGGACTGTATGTTTCTACAAAAATTCCCATAATTAGTATCTTTAAGGAGAAGAGTCTCTATAGTTAATATGATCAATATTTCTTATGAAAAAGCACTCTTTCAGCTGATAACTTTTCTTATTTCAATAGTCTACACCACTGTATAGCTAAAGTCTTACATACTTCATAATACAAAAATTGAGAGCATATTCTTTGGATATTAGAAGTATGTATGGCAAGTAATTGACATTTATTTTGAGTAATAAATGTCTAAAGGTAACATGTTATTACTAATCAGCACTGTTTTAAAAAACTATTCGCAGAAAAATTCTTCCATTTCTTCACCGTTAAACATAGGTTTAAAAAAAATGAATGCCATCTAATTTTTAGAAAATAAAAGATTTAATTATTACAATCACCATTTTTGCCTAAGATATGTTTTAATATTTTTTGTATGAAGATTTTTTCAGCAAAAATTCATTCACACAAGACCTGTAAGAATATTCTTTAGTTTGTAAAAATAACTAGCTTACCTGTTTTTTCTTTTTGTTCTCTATGCCTGAAAAAATGGATAATATCTTTTGGATTGGCTACCCGATCCACAAATTTCTGGCTAAAGCGAAGAACATTGAAAGGTTCAAAACCTCCACTATAATCCACCTGGAAATACAGAATAACCCATGAAAGCCAGGAAACAACTTGCCAATTTTTGAAATATACTAATATTTGGTATATAGTTTTATAGTTTTTATGCTCAATACTTTTAAAGTTAGAAATTAACTTCCTGAATCTTTGCCAGCTATACATTTGATAAAAGATTAATAACCAGAATATACGGGGAGCTCAAAAAACTATAAACTCCCAAAATATTAATGACCCAATGACGAAATAGCCAAATGAAGTGAACAGAGCTTTTTCAAAGGAAGAAGTCCAGATAGTCAAAAAACACATGAAGAAATGCTTAACATCCCTGGTCATAAAGGAAATGCGAATAAAAACCACATTAAGATTCCACCTCATTCCTGTCAGAATGGCTATCATCAAGAACACAAACAACAACAAATGTTGGCAAGGATGCAGTGAAAAAGGAACCCTCATACACTTCTGGTGGGAATATAAACACAACCACTATGGAAAACAGTATGGAGGATCCTCAAAAAGCCAAAACTAGAACTGCCATATGATCCAGCAATTCCACTTATATGCAGGTTACAATAAAGGCAACTGCACACCCATGTTTATTGCAGAACTATTCACAATAGCTATGCTATGGAAACAGCAAGATGCCCACTACTGATGAACAGATTAAGGAAATGTGGTATTCATATACAATGGAATTTTCTTCGGCCACAAAGAAGAATGAAATTTTGTTGTATGCAAGTAAATGGATGGAACTGGAGAACATCAGAGGAAGTGAAGTTAGCCAGGTTTAGAAGGCCAAAGACTGCAAGTTTTTTCTTATATATGGTATATAGACCTAATACAAATACAAGCAATATTATGAAAAACAGGTCACACTAAAGGGAGTTCACATAGGAGAGAGGGAGGGTAAAAGAAGGAACTTAAGAAGGTGAATATAGTTGATGTACTTCTCATATGAGAATGAATATAGAATTTTTAACCCTGCTGATAGAACCACAAGAAGGGAACTAAGGTAGAAAGGAGAAGAACAGAGGTGATGAACCATTTGGCTTGTAATACATATACATGTGTAAATGACAAAAGGAAAATCTCTGTATAGCATCTTAAATAAACAAAAAAATGCCATTTATCAGAGAACAGGACGGCAGAACAGGTTATGTCTGGGGGGTTGGTACCAGTGGGAGGAGGGAGGTTGTGGGGAAAGGGTGTAGGAAGGTGAATATGGTGTAAATACTGTATACATATGTATGTAAATGGAAAAATGAGACCAGCTGAAACTATTTCAGAAGTAGGAGGAGGGATAAAGGAGAATGATGGAGGGTGTGAATTCAAGTATGATGTATTGTAAGAACTTTTATAAATGCCACATTGTACCCCTAGGCATAACAATAAAAAAAGAAATTAATCTTCTGCAATACATTTTAAAGATCATGATGATGTACCATTTATGCTACTGAGAAAACAATGTTTGGAAGGTAAAACTTAAGCAAAATATTTTGCTTGATGGGATCAGTTTCCAGCAAGGACTTCCATAATAGGGGCCAGGTGTGGTGGTGCATACCTGTAATCTCAGCTACTTGGTGGGTGAGAGGTAGGACAATCATAGTCCAAGGCTAATTCAGACAAAAGCACAAGACCCCATCTGCAAAACAAACTAAAAGCAAAAGGTCTAGGGTATGGCTCAATTGGTAGAATGCTTGCCTAGGAAGCACAAAGCCCTGAGTTCAATTTTCATAACATACACACACACACAAAATCCACAATGTTGGAATGATCATATCTCTCATGAAAACAATAATAAAACTACCAACAGTACCATCTGAAAAGTACGTGAAATTTCTAAACAAGTTTCTAAATTTTCAAAATAAAAAAAAAATAAACCCTGAACAAAATAAAATACCAGCCTTAGATACATTAGTGCATTGGTCTATCATTTCAGGGATGTACCATCACACTGGGAAAATCTAGATAGGAAAGAATCAAGTCTGTGAACTTTGAGAAATGATTCCTTCAAACCATACATGGCAGCACTAACAATCTCTCTCAAGGCCAGATCTTTCCAAAGAAGTCTACAGTGATAAAGAGACCTTTACAAAGAGAAATACTATCTTTCCACTGAAGAGATATAATCATTCTCTTAAAGTAACCGTTCTCAAAGTATGCTCTAGAATCAGCATAGCAATAGCCTATCCAGAACATTCCCTAAACTAACCCTACCCACTCACACCCTCCATCACATTTAGCACATCTGCTCATTTATTTGATATTTATTATATCTCTCCTAGTTCCTTCACAAGTTCAAAGCCTCATCTGCTTTAAATCATCCCTATGTCCCTCAACACCCATAAACAGAAGGCAGTCAGTAAGATCTATTCATTGAATTAATAAGCGTCCTCTAATTGATACAATGTGTTTTTGTAGCATTAGCTACATGACAATATCTGATCTTTTATTTTCAGAATGCATTAATAATTTCTGTGTTTCAGAAAATCAATGCAAGTTTGCTATTTAAGTCTGGCTGCTTTTAATAGTATCAGATGAAAAAACATGGACTTTTGCCCTGAAGAAGAGGACTATGTGGTTCCCCTAAAGTAGCCATCTTTGTATTACCCAGATCATTTGCCAAACCATATAAGAGAAAATACTAAATATTACAGCTACTGGATCTCTCCAAGACTCCTCAGACCTTTTCCTTCCCTGTTCTTCCCTCCCATGGTGGGGAGGGAACCTGTGGCCTTGTGTGAGGCTAGACCACTGAGCTACCTCCCCAGCCCATAATTAAACACTTGTACTCCAACAACCTTTATTTACAATTTCCTGCTCCTAAAAGTAATGAAAACATGTTCATTAAATTTTATTGGGTGTTCTCAGTGTTCTAAGTACTCAGCTAAGGGATAAGGATAAAATTATAAATAAAACATAATCTTGGTTGTCAAGAAATTCACAAGCTGACAGGGAAGACAAATGAAAATAATCAGAGTATGGACAGTGATATCAGTGGTATGAGCAAAGCACAATGAGAGCATAAAGGAAGAAGCATCAACTCTAGGAAGGCCCAGAAAAAGATTCTTTGAAGAGGAAGGATTTTTTTTTTTCTTCTTTGCAGTACTGGGGTTGAATTCAGGGCCTTGTGCTTGCCAGGCAGGTGCTCTACCACTTGAGTCACACCCCTATCCCTTTTTGCTTTAGGCATCTTTTTGAATAGGGTCTCAAATTTATGCATAGGCCAACCTGTACTGTGATCCTATTTTACACTGAAATGACAGGTGCATGACATTGTGCCCAGACACTGCTTGAGATAGGGGTCTCTTGAATTTTTTGTCTAGGCTGACCTCAAGCCACCGATGTCCATCTCCTGAATAGCTCTGACTACAGTCATGGGCCATGGTACCTGACTGAAGAGGGAGGCTTTAAGTGGGTACTAAAGGAAATACAAAGCAAGGAGGAGGAAAGTACATTTCACACAACAGGATCCACATGGGTAAAGGTTCAGAAGTGAAATAGCTCCTCTGTGCCTAGAGACCAGTAATTTTAGCCCAGTGTGATTGGAGCTTAGCATGTGCTTAGGTTGAAGAAGCCTGAGGTTGGTTTAGACCAGGTCATGTAGATACTTAAGTGTTATACTAAAAAGTTTTAACTTGTTCCTGCTAGAGAATCATTAAGTTGCTTTCAGCAAGAAAGACATGCAAGTTGTGTTTTACAAAGATCAATTTGGTATTAAGTGTGGAGGAAAGGCTGATGGTAGGAGGAGGGGGGAACTGAGGCCAGGTAGGATGCTGCAGCCATAGGCCAGTAAGTGATAACAAGGACCCCACTACAACAATGACAATGGGAGAGAGAAAAGGGACCAGACTCCTTGCTGTGCACCATTACAAACAACGTTTAATTCACTTAGACCTCAAAAATTTATGAAGTACAAACCAATGTACAAGACAGTTGTTCAAGATCATAAAACTAGTGGTAGGGCCACAATCAAACCCAAATGGTCTGGCTTTAGAGTATTCTCTTTATCTCCACACCCTACATACTAGGACTTCTCAAAGCTTAATATGCACACAATCTCTTTGGGATTTTGTAAAAGGCAGTGGGGTCTGATGTTGAAAGGGTTCACTGTATTTGTTGAAAGGGGCCTGAGAGTCTGTATTTTAAGTTTCCCAGGTGATGCCAATGCCACAGTTTAAAGACCACATTCTTTGAATATCAGGCTTTAGGGCACTTTGAACATCCAGATCAATAAGGAGGTCTAAGTAAAGATGTGTGGTCAACAAACACTTTATAGGAAGTTGTTAAAGCCACATGCCTACACTGAAAGGAATGCTAAGTAAGACAAAGGAGGAATAAAGATAATTCAGAGTGACAGAATAATTCAGTAAGATGAAAAATAATCTACTGGATTCAACATAGAAAGTCATCTTTTCCATCACAGTCTTGTAATTATAGTGGCCTGAGGAATACAATGTTAGATGAGGAGCACAGTTTTGTATCTTAGGGACACAGAGAATATGGAAGACCAAGTAGGAGCTAGGAGAAGGGGAAAAGCACAGTGGCAAATAAAAGATCTGTTTTGTTAATGGTTTGTTTATATTACAATGGAAAAGATGAGTAGGTTTACAGGCACAGAAATGATTCAAATAACTGAAATAAAAATTACATGCGATTGGTTAGGACTTATTATAAAAGAAGGTAAGCATCATCAGCAGTGATTGGGAAGAAGGGGGACTGCCATTTTAATGAGAGTGGGCCTCAGTGAGGTCGCACTGGAGCAGCCTTTTAAGAGAGGTAAGAATGCATCAGATATGTTTTAGGAACTTGCAGGAAGGGCCAAGGTACTTTGAGTGGAGTGATAGGGGAGAGCAAAGATGAAGTCAGAGGTCTTAGCCAATCTATTAAATATAACAACAAATTATTCAGAAAATGACAAGAATATAAATAACACATCAAATCCATCATAATTAAATCAAATCCTTACAGCTTTATTATTTTTTTCTCTAAAGGTGAAAAGGCACTTGTTTTATTACTTAAAAATAGGCACTTGTTTTATTACTTAAAAAAAAATCCCTATAAACTATACATTACTGTACTTTGAAAACTGAAAAGTTTAATTTATAGAAATAGGACTTACTCGCAGTCGTATAAGAGGTTTCTCTGGCTGTTGAGAATTTCCTAACCTTTCTCGTTCAGCATTTTCAAGCATTTCTTCGACCTCAAATAACAATAAAGATTTAAAACCAAAATTTTAAATTATATTAAACTTATTTTATTAAATTTTTTTCTGAGTATGGTCATTTAAAATACCTTATAAAATATACTTTCTTAAAATGTTCCCACTAATATCATTCCTTAATGCTTTTCTTTTGTGAAAGTTCTTAACAATTTCTCAATCTCTAAGGTAATTCTTTTACAAGAAACTGTAACACACTGTTCCTGCTCCAATTTTCTACTCAAGTTTCAATATAGCTTCCCTCATCTCACCAACTTAAGACCAAATAAATCCAGTTTTTTTTCAATTATATCATGCAGTATAAGAATCTAAAGGGTCTTGCATTATTTGCCTTAGAAAAGGTCAAGCTAAAAGAAAGTCAGACAAATATTTTCAAATATATAAAGCTGTGTCATGCAATAAGAGGTCAAGATTATAAAATCTTGGCTGGGTAGGTAGCTCAGTAGTAGAGTGCTTGCCTCACATATGTGAGGCACTGGGTTCAATTCTAAACAATCGATTAAAAAAAGATTATATAATCTTAGATTGGAAGTGATCTGAGAACAAAAATAGTTGTCCAGTAAGAAGACATTTTAATTCCAATTCAACTTTCTTAACAGCTAGAGTTGCTTGCATCTGAAGATAGCGAATCACTGTGCATTCAAAGGATTCTAGTACTCCCTCCTTACTAATTGGTTCTCTCCTCAGGAACAATAATAGAACAGTAAGTGTCCTCAGATCTCTTCCAAGTCTAAGATTTTTACAACATTGTCCTTTAAACTATGACAATGCAGTCCAACAGAATTTTCAGTGATATTGCTGTATTACTGTACTGTTCTACACAGCTGCCATAAACCACATCACTATTAAAGCACTTGAAATGTGGTCGATACAAGTGAGAAAGTGAGTTTTTAATTTTAATTAATTATATGTCAATTGTTACATGCTCTAATAACTACCATAATGAATAGCAGAGAGCTGTAAGAGTATGATCTGCTAGGTCAATTCTTTCAATTTATAGAGTACCTGTTTGCTAGGAAGTAGGTGGGTCAATTACTAAAATAGAAAAGTTAAGATATTGGCCTTGTTGCCACATGCATATAAATATAATGAAATACAATAAAATAACAGAAATGCAATAGACTATAGAGGGAACAAGTCACGTGCACACCCAGGTGTTCAAATAGGCCCTTTACTTTAGCTATTGCCAGTTTTCAGTCTCCTTTCTGCATTCATGTGACCATTCAAAATCTATGAGATTTAGATGGAACTGATCCAGTGGATCTCAATCAGAGGTAATTTTGACCTGAAGGACATTTGCCAAAGTTGTTTTGATTGTCATGACTATGAAGAAAAGGAGCTAATAGAATCTAGTGTTTAGAGGCAAGGGAGGATACTGCTAAACATTCCACAATGCACAGAACATCCTCTTGCAACAAAGCATTATGTAGTCCAAAATGTCATTCAAGCCAAGGTTCATAACCTTGGACTAACTTTAGGAAATGGGACATGGCTCAAGCATGGGTATGATCAATGCAAAATCAATGCATCTATTTTCTATCTCCCTGACTTCAGGGATTGGGTTTTGACATGCATACCTGACCTCAGTCCAATAAAACTCAATGTTTAGGGTTTATTTGGAACTAGTGGGAAACACATTTTGTCCAGCTATAAAAGGTAACGTAAGTCTGTGGGACACCATATGATACTGTCTTCCTTATAGTGAAGCTCAACATAGAAATCGAGTAAATGGTACAGGACTGGCCACAAAAACAGAGAGAAACCTACAACCTTAATTTAAGCTTGAGTTTGTGGAGTCAGTCACCTTGAAACCTGTATAATCTGCATGGAAAGGGAGGTGTGAGGTTTGTGCTGAGGTACAGGGAGCAAAGCAAACACATTTTAAGATTTTATTTTGGGTAATTTTCAATGAGATAAAAGAAAAAAGAAAGATCTTTGTCACAACTGAACTGATTTACTGAGCAACAGTGGTCTCACCAGCATCAGGAGAATGTAATACATATAAAGGCTTCCTAATACTCCACTGAATCATTTAATTAAAGGTAAATAATTTCTCAACCAAAGTAGATCTCATTGACTTTAAAAGAATACCTTCTCCAAACAGAAGTTTTGTATGGCTTGGGTTACTTTAGGATTATCTGGGTTGAAAATGTCTGAATGGTTAGCCAGAACAACATCCTCCATAAAAAATTGCCGTACTGAACGAAGAGGAATTTTTTGCATATTCATCTTCCTCCCCTTAATTCGCAGCAAACCAACATGTCTGAAATGGGAGAAAATTAGAAAGCAGATGATGCAGCCTCCAGAACTGTGAATAATAAAGTTTTAGTATATGTAATTAAAAAAAAGTAAATTTTCTCAGGAAAATGTACATATCAAAAGTATCGTATTTCTTATTGGTTTCTAGAAAATATTTCCCTATAAAACCATATCCTTAAACATAAGGATGCTTTTGGCAGTTTAATCTTAATGTTATTATTACAGGAGAAAATGGTAAACATTCTTAGATTAAATAGAATAAAACCCCCCACTCATCCATCATTTTTCCTGTCTGAACAAGTTTTGTACAGGAAGACAGAACAATAAGTACAAAAGATTGTTATCATGACTATGATAAACTTATAGCAGAGCCAGAGGAAAAAACCCCAACAAGCACACATTCCATTACCATATTCTATATATATGTTATCATAACAATAAGGACAAGAGATTTAAAGAGTAAGACCTATTATAAAAATTGAGTTTAATCACTATTGACTGCATTTTATAATCACATCATTCTGTCAAAGAATTTACAGAATTACAGGTAAGCAACATATTGCTTTTATAACCAGAAAAATCTCAATTAAGTTACTTTACAGGAATCTGTTTAGTAATCATCCATATACTATCTAATTTGAAATTTAATAAAAAAAATGAGTTTTGTATTTGCCTAGTGAGCAGCAAAATCATCACCAATTAGAATATTCTCTTGTTAAAAATGGATTAAAACCTGGGAAAAGAGTAAAACTACAAAGAGTGATCAACTGTCATAAAGAAATCTATTGTACACTGTATACACCTTAATAATAACAGATTATTATAGCAAGGTTTTTAAAAATTAATTTGGAATATATAGTAAGTACTCACTTCTTCACAGCTTCTCCTGGGGAAAGAGAAGTAACTACTGAACTTCCAGGCTGTGATACATAAAAGAGTTGTTGTTCATTTTTGGTTGGAGCTATTTTACACTCATGTTCATGGCCCCAGATAATGAGATCAATGAAGTCATCCAAAAACTGTTCTGGAATGAAGTTAGTACTTCCATGTTTACTCCTATACCAAGATTTAAAAAAAATAAGTAATATAAATTCAGAGTAATATAGAAAAAAATTCATATGAAGTAAGCCTGTACAGATCATTTACTACTGACATATTATATCCTTCTTGTGCCAGAAGCTGCAAAAGGGATCAGAATACAAAGATAATAACTATTTCTGACCGCCAGCAATTTACAGACTTGCATGAAGCAGGAACCCTGAAAGATAAAAGTAGTGGATTCTACATTTTAAGGAAGATCACTAGTTAAAAAAAAAAAAAGAGCTCTGTAAGCTCTGTAATACTAAAAACTCACAAGCTGGTATCACACCCACCTCCCAAAAAAAAGAAGACAAAAAAATGAAAGTTAAACTAAACCTTGTGGTATAAAAACAAATTTCAAAATGTGTCTAATGATTTTTTTGAGCATCTGTTTAAGTAAAAATGATATTAAAAGTATTAATTTAACATAAGAGATAAGATTTTTCAATATTAAATATCATATGAGAAGCCATTTGCAAACTGTAGTTTTATACTTAAAATGGCTGTTACCTAGTGAGAGAAGAAGAGCATTAACTTTTGTTATTTGTTATTAAGTGAAAGTGTTCAAATATGTCAATCTAGTATTCATTTGATCCAAACCTGTATTCATTCACTTTAACAGCTATTTACTGAGTATCTATTAAGTGTCAAATGTCTCAAGCAGTGAACAAAGTCATTACTCTTGTGAGGGAACCAACAATAATGCAGCGTGTGTGTGTGTGTGTGTGTGTGTGTGTGTGTGTGTGTGTTGTTTACATGTAAATAAAACTTACCAGGTAGTGGTATGTGCTATGAAGAAAAATAAAAAGAGTGACAGTGACTGGGAAAGCTATTCTACATACATAGGGTAGTCAAGAACATTCTCTCTGAGGAGCAACAAATGAACAGAGAACAGAGAGGAGTGATCAGTATTCAAGGGAAGAGAGTCTTCTACAGTGGAAGAAGAGATGGCAAAGGTGCTAAGATGGGAATGTGTTCCAGGGGTTCAAGGAACAGCAAAGAGATCCATGTGGCTAGCAGAAGAAGGAAGAGAAGACAGAAAATGAAATCAGGAAAGCAGTAAGCTTGTGTCGTTGGGGATGCTTTCATGTAAAAAATACCTAGAATATGAAATTATAACAACTACTAAGGAAAAGCAATTAACTCTCAAATACAACATGACATCATTGTGTCTTCAAGAAACACTAGTACTAGCTCTTTCCTGGAAGAAAGAAGGAAAATTATGCAGTAGGCTGACACTGATGTGTAACCTAGAAGTGGATCCAAACATTCATGTTGAAAGACTTTGTAAGCAAGGTCCTTATCATCTTTAGATTCTGCCTTTTTTTGTAACTAGAAGAAAAAACTGGTCAATGCAGAGAAACAGATGAAATAAAGTAAATGGAGAAGGTTCAAGTATTATTACCCAAAGTGAGAAAACCCTCTGTTTTTTCTAACTCTTGAAGAAGCAGTAACTGCAGAAATACCTAATAATGCAAAGGGTGACAAATAAATCTAGTAGTATTAAAAAATTTCACATAACCACAGTGAAGGTGTCAGGGACGAAAGGAGCTAAGAAACTTCAGAGCTGGTATTTTGACTAGGTATAGTAAGGCTAAAGTACACAAACACTGTACCCTAGTTGGCAAATATGTTTCTCACAGGGTATTTATTAGCAGCATAAAATTACTTTTTGTAAACCCAGTATTAAAAAAGGAGCAAGTAAATATTTATGGATAGTACAATCCAGGCTTGAATTAGAGAAAAAAAGTCACAAGTAAGGATAAGACAAAAATAGACATTGTAGGGTTGGATTAGAATCAGCATGAATTTAGGATCATGTTTTTAACACATAGAAGGCTACATATAGAAAGACAGGCATGCGTAATGCATGAGTTACTATCCATACTAACATATGTATCTACTCCCTTAACTTTGCTCACTGAGAGGGCTGAGAGAGCCCCAATAACCACAGCTCCTTGGAAAGGTTGTTGATTCCAGGATTAGGGCAGGAAAACACAACAGGAGACTGCAGCATTTTGTGGTGTTAAAAAGCCAAGATCAAGTTCAAAACAGAAAAAAAGGGGGAGGGATAACGTTGAAAGGACACAGTAGTCAACATAAAAGACCTTCCAATGGTCAATGGTCAAATTATAACAATCTGAGGAACAATAACAAAAGAAAAACTGATAGTATTAGATAGTAACTCAAAGAATAAAACAAAAATTCTTAAGTTCACAATGACAAAAACAATATGAGTAGATAAAAGGGGGAGAGGAACAAATTGTTTTTTGTTTTCACAAAAAATTCCAATCACTAAATATAGAAAGAATAAAGGAAATGAGAAATCACCCTTACAATTCTATAGCTGTTGGAAACATGATCACAGGTGGATCCTACATCAATGTCTCAAAGTTTATGGTGAAACAAAGTATTTTACATAGTCTCAAAGATTTCTTCCAAAATATTCATTAATTACAAAGTAGAAAATAGGAACTTTACAGGAAGAAACAAAAAATGTACTTCTGTAAGTCACCATTATCAGCAATGAGACACATCAACATCTTATGTTGACTGTCTGTTCTCCTAACCAATGCTGCCTTCTACGTTTCATTCTGGCTTAATTCAGAATTACTTAAAAGTTTTCCTTCCAACTTATCCTACTTTGACATAGAACCAAGTGTGGCAAAACTGAGAAGCCTTATGCAAGAGAAGTGGTATAGACACATGGAGACCATTTACATCAAAACTCTGGACTACTCTTCCTCTGAAACTCACTCAAGCCTATTTGAGAATATACATAAGGCAATGCAACTCTGCCTCCTGAAGTCCTTCTCTGATTCAGAGCTTATTATAAATCTGTACTCAAATAAATAAATTATATAATCAGGTCCCAAATCCCGTGGATTCTTCCTTGACAAATTCGCAGGGTTGTGCCGGGTGTTAGTGGCTCATGTCTGTAATCCTAGATATTCAGGAGGCAGAGAGCAGGAGAATAGAGGTTTGAAGCTAGCCCTAAGCAAATAGTTCTTAAGACCCTATCTCAAAAATACCCAATACAAAAAAGAGCAGGTGGAGTGATTTTAGTGGTAGAGCACCTGCCTAGCAAGCAAGAGGCCCTGAGTATAAACCCCAGAACCACTAACCACCAAAAAAAAAAAAATAAGAAGAAAAAAACCCAGGGTTGCTTCTTCCATGTCAGTTTCACTGTGATTTCTGTTGTCACCTACATTTTCTACTGTAATGACCATATAATAAATCATTTCTGTAAGTCTCTCTTCCTTTCAATCAATCTTGTACCCTACAAACAGATTAGACTTCTTACAGCAACTAGCAAAACAAAGTTATTCTAGCTAGATTTACATATTCTGGAAAGATACTTGCATATATGGTTGGGGAGATATGCATAAGAAATGCTCAGAACAACAAGTTTTGTGAGCAAATACCTGGAAATAAAATGTTCACTAACAGGAGGAAAAAAACTATACATATGAGTAAAAACGACATATAGTGAGAGAGAACAAAATTGTATTAGTGAATATGAGGGGGCTACAGAAGTTGGGAGAAAGAAAATGTGAGAGAATGAAAAATACTGAAACAACCCATCTATATATGAATATTAATAACTCACTGTAGAATAAGCTGTTGAATATCAGGGGAACATGGTGACAGTTGAATGAATAAGCAACGGAGGGGAGGGGGTTAATTTGATAAAAGCAGTGAAATCCCCTTGGACTATCAATATACACTTAATTAAGACAAAAATGAAGGGCAGAAGGGAAAAATAAATCTTTTGCATGGCGGGTACCAATGGGAGGAAAATGGGCACAAGAAAAGAAGAAATGAGGGTGTATATGTAGAATGAAATCTACTGAAATTGTTCTAAGAAGAGGGGGAGATGGAAAGAAGGAGAATGATGGAGGGGATAAATCCAATTAAGATACATTGTAAGTACATATGTAAACATCATAATGTATTTCCCTATATAACTATTATATGCTAATAAAATCATAAATAAAAAAATGCATTGCCCTTCTAAGCATCAAAATAGATGCATACCAGTAATGTAATATAAATTGTCTGTAAAATAAAACAGCATGACTCCAGTTATACCAAAACTAACAAAGTATCAATTATGTGTATATTTATATATGATTAAGCAATAAAGAAAACCAATGGAATAATTAACTCAAAATTGAGAATTAAACTTTCCTTGGGGTATAGGGAAGCAGGTAAGATCAGGGAAGGGGACAGGACAATATACTTGGTAAGGTTGTACTTTTTAGAGTATTCACTTTATAGTTATTCTTATGCCTTGTCTATTCATTACCAGTATTCTTTTAAAGGTATTAATATACACTAAAAATGACTTCAAAATGAAGTCATGCAAAGCAAATCTAAGTTTTTTCTGATCCTGCAGTGACAAGCATTGAAGAAATACTAAAGTAGGTGAGCTCAGAAATACATTTTGGGAACCTCAATACTTGGCTCAAAAATTTTCAGAGAACACTTTTACCTGTTCTGATGAATCACAAACAAGTTAAACCAAGAGTTCTCATCTTCTTTTGGTCTCAACATTGTTACTTTTTTATTGACAAACATTCGATAGAGCCTTTCATCTGGAATGGATCCTGAAATGGATATTACAGAATTTAAAAATTATTTTCTTACTTTGGTTAAGAAAATGAATATATCTAGTTTCTAAATCATGTGTTTCTCAAAATATTACATTTTACTGTTTATAAATGATTCTGGAATCATTTATAAACGATATCATTTATAACACACAAAAACAGATACTGAAGGATGAGATAAAAATGTATCCTAAACCACAATATTGATATATATTGATTTTTTAAAATAAAAATATTGTACACTTAATGATATTCAAATAGTTCTCCCATAAGCTTGTCTTGGTCTAGTACAATAGACAAACAAAACCAAGTAAACCAAATAACAAATTGTAAATATTATAAAAGGGGAAAAAGATAGAGAATAACAATGCAGGATGGAAAAGGGGGCAGATAAGCTTGCTACTTTATATTATAGAAGGTCTCAGAAGAAAAGCCAAAAATGTCGAAATATAAAGCAAGAAGTAGATTCCTGAAGAGAGTTGAATAGGGTCAATGCAATAAACAGTTGAGGTGGGATGCAGAACATCCAAGTAGAGACAAAAATCAAGGCATACAAAGCCCTGGGCATTAGAAGGCTGACCTACTTAGTTGTTAAATCATCAAGAATAGTGACAAAATCTGAAAAAAAAAAGTTTAAGTGAAAGGGGAGCACGTTTAAACAATCCAAACATCAATGAGCAAGGTGTTTGAAGTAGGAAAGAAAGTAGTGGTGGGGAGCAAAGAGAACAATGAGCCCTGCTTCTTCCCAAAGTCCACAGATACAAGAACTGTGGGGACCATGGGACCCTCAGAAGCTGAGCTGGTTTCACCTAAGGTGAGAAGGTGGAGGCAACATTCCACAGTTTCTAGTGAAGGGAGAGATAGGTGGGAATAGAGGTTAATTAGGGAAGGTAGAACAGAATGAGATAAGACTTTGGGGGAAAATGGATAATTGGAGAGATAATTAGTCAGAATTTATTAGGAGAAACCATTTTTCAGGAGATAATATCTCTAACACTGCAGTGATTAAAACTGTTGCTCTATCACTTCCAGAATGAAAAAGGTATGAGAAATGGACTTTAAAAACCTTATTTCTATGCTTAAAAATTCTCGAGATATAAAATACACAAAATAATGAATATATGGTTTAAAAATTGTCTTTGGTCTTTCATGTTTTTCACTGAATACTAAATAAATTGAAGACAATGGAGTTGATAAAGCAAATTTCTTATCACTAGAAGTGATATTGGGCTAGACTAGCAGATATATCATGTGAGCCACTAACGCACAACAAATATATAACTGAATTTTCTTGTAGTGACATTAAAATAAGGAAATTAGTTTTACCTTATTTAATCTGGTATGTTAACAATAGAATTTATATTTTTAACTCAGTTTCTTAAATCTGGTGTTTGCTTTAGTTATAGCACACCATGATTCAGACTAACTACATTTCAAGTGCTCAATATATACACGAGGCTAGTAGTTACCATACTGGACAGTGATGCTTTAGACCTTTCAAAGATTTGTAAGATGCCAAAATACAGTTTTGCTAATTATTCTACAGTTCTAACATTCAGGATTCTATATCTGAATCTAAAGGAAATTTTAAAAATCTCAAACAATAAACAAAAATATTTTTCCACCAAAACTGCTATTGAAAACAAGTACTAACAGCTAGTGGTCTTTATAAATACTAAAAACTTTTTTACCAAAACTCTGCATCATTTCTTACAGTCACCAATAAGGAATAATTAAATTTGTTCCACTATTTTTCAAAGTGTTACAAAGTTATTTCCAAAATTTCATTTCCCAATTGTTTAAACAATTACCCAGTAACTGTAAAAATAAAGCCCTCTTACCTAAACCATAAAGAGCAATTTTTGTGCTTCCTTTTTGAAGTAAAACCGGGCTAATATCTATCTTCTCCACAGACATTGAACGTCCAAAGTGATTTACAAATCCGGCACAACTTAAAATATCCAGGGCACAGAGTGCATCTGCCTATGTAAAATATTTTCAAAGAATATCGTGTATATAAAAATAAAAATAAGTGATCTGTGTGACTATCAGATTACCTATTAAAACTGTTCCCCATATACTACAGTTTCCATGCATATACCTTATCCAAAATTCTTGAGACTGTAAAGATTTCAGATTTTGGAGGGTATTTTTGGATTTCTGAATGTTTGCAAAGATCTTACCAGTTGAACACCTCAAACCGAAAATCCAAACTCCAAAATGACCCAAAATCTAAAAACTTTTTGAGCAGTGACTTTTGGAGCATTTTGGATTTCATGTTTTTGGATTTTGGATGCTCAACCTGTAATTACAAAACTGTAGATTAATATAGTGTTTTCTCAAAACAGAATTTCAATAGTAAAAGTGTTGCTACTTTTTTTCTACTACAAGTGACTTACAAAACCTAGAATCACATATCAAATGCAAATCTCATCACAACTATCATGACTGACTACTAAGCAATAAAAGTCAGCCATGCAATAAGTCCTTTGTAATATTAAGCAGGCCTCTAATAAACTGGGAAAGGGGCTATACCTCGTGATTTATATTAATGACCAGATGAAACAAATGATATTTTGAATTTAGGTCCTCTAATCTTACCTCCATATCAACAAGTAATAAGATAGCCTAATTTAGATGTAAAAGTGTTCATGGGATCATCATTTCCTGCATGTGAGACTTCAGGAGACATAAAGACAGTGGCAAACTGAGGAGCACTATGCACATGTTCGGTGTTTATTCCTAATCTTGGCTACTCATGGTTAAACTCAGCTCATATACCAATTCTTATTCTAGACTTAAAACAATAAAAAAACACTATAAATGCTTTTATTAATGGTAACAAGTCAATTTTACTTGTTGAGTCAATGAAAAAGGGGAGGAATGTTTTCCACAAATAACCCAAACTGATCATTTCTAAAATTTCAAGAAAATATAAGAAAACAGTAATTACCCCTGTGGGATCATCATGATTGCCATGAATACTAAACACCGGAATTGAAATGTTGAGATTGCTATCCTGGTAGTTTACCCATGGAAACCTTAAAAAAAAAAAAAAAAAAAAAAAAAGTTAAGTGTTTATAAGGGACAAAAGCTGCTCCCCAAGATCCAACTCTGAAACATTAAATTCAAAAGCAAATGACTGACCTATATGGCAGATGACCACCAGTTTAGAGTTTTACAAAATTATAGGCAACAATTAAAGCTTGAAAATACATACAACAGTACAATATTTTAAAGAAAACTGAATGATAATTGAGAATTGCATAAAAGGATGGTATAGCTGATATAATAGGACTTTAAAATAATAAAAAAAAAACCCTTTGTATAAAGTTTTTATGTATATTGGGGGAGGAAAGAAAATGCATGTACTTTGGAATCCAAAAGACCTAAATTAGCAATTGTGGCTCTATCACCTCTGACCTATACAACTTAATCTTCTGTCCACTCCTGTTTCCAACCATTCAACTTCTCTTCTCAGATGCAAAAACTGTTATCAATTTCTACTGCATCTTTTAAAAAATATTTTTTACTTATATAAGCATAAAAATATTTTCTTCTTTCTCACATAAATGGTAGTACTATACAGATTTCTACACCCTACTTTTATCATTTAACATACTTTAGAAATCATTTCATAGAAGTACCGGCTATGAAGTGTTTCTATATGTTGTTTGTGGGCTTTTTGTCTAATGTAGGCTCTACTGTATCATGCTGAAGAAATGTCCACTGGACATTTAAACTCTTTCATTTTTACAATTACCTTCACAAAGGTTTCCCTTTGTAAGAGTGTACACAGAAATAACTAGAAGGGAATTACTGAGTCAAAGGATACAGGCATTTCACTGCTAATTCCCCTCCATAAAGGCTATTCAAATCTGTACAATGACAGTGTACCAGAGCGACAACTTTCCCAAATCTTACCACCTCAGTATGTTATAAAATTTTTAAACCTATGCCAGTGTTTCTGAAGCACTGTAGAATGACCTGGGCATCTTTTAGAAACGCCAGTGTCCATGCCATATTCTAAAAGGTATGTCAGTTGGGATGGAATGGGACACCAGTGATCTTAACATTCCTAAGTAACTGTTATGTGCACTCAGAATTGAGAATCACTGATCCATGCCAACCTGACAGGAGAAAAATATTTCATTATGGCTTCTTTTTGTAACTATGAATAAGAAAGATCTTCCTCTAAATGTTTAAATGAGATTTAAACATAACATGTCTCCTTTTCTGTAAACCATACTGAATTTGTTTACCTATCTTTTTTTTTTGTTTCATTTACTCATGGATTTTTATTGACTTATTGGGAAATTAGGCCTTAATTTCTAATGAAATACAAATATTCTTCCAGGTTGAACTGTATCTTTTAAATTTAAGTTTGCTTTAGGCAGTTTTTGGCATGCAGAAATATATTTTTATAAAGATGTATCGATCTTTTTTTCTTTCATGGCTTCTGGATTTTATATCATACCTAGAAAATTCTTTCTGCTTCTAACTGACCCATGCCCCCAGTCGTTTTTTTTTTTTTTTTTTTTTCAGATAGACTCTCACACTTTTGCCCGGGCTGGTCCTGGACATGACTCTCCTTATCTCTGCCTCCCACAAGGCTGGGATTTCAGGCATATACTAACATGCCTGACTGTTTTTGAGATAAGGTCTTGCTATTTTTTCCCCCAGGCTGGCATTGAATCACAATCCTCCTACTTTCATCTCCCAAGCAGCTTGAATTACAGTTATACTGTCTAATAGTTTCTTTTAGGGTGTTTGCTGATTAATCTGTCTTTTTCCCCCAAGATGTGAGATATCACATTCATCAAATACTAAATCCCTACACATATATGAGACTATTTCTGGAATGTCTATTCTTTTATTTAGCTGTTAATTCATGAGCCATGCCATACTTTTAATTACTACAGCATTATACTATACCATAATATCTATCTGGGCTACTCATTGCTTTGTAGTCTTCTTTCAGAAGTTCTTTCAGATTTCTGTTTGCCTATTTTCCTGTATGAACTCGTAAACTGAGGGGAGATTAACCAGCAAGGAGTAAAGGTAAGAGTAATATGAAAAAGAGGGTAAAAACTGAGAGTGCAGCTCAGTGGTAGAGTACTCGGGATGTGTAAGGCCCTGGGTTTAATTCCAGCACTGCAGGAAAAAAAAAATCCAAACTTGCTAATAATTCTTAGATTAAAATGCATGATGAAACTGAGTGCCACTGGTGCCTGTAATCCTAGCTACTTGGCAGGCTGAGATGAGGAGGACTGTGGTAAAGGTCAACCCTGGGAAGTAGTTCAAGAGACCCCTTCCATCTTCAAAATAACCAGAGCAAAATGGACTGTAGGTGGGACTCAAGTGGTAGAGTGCCTACTTTGCAAGTGGGAAGCCCTGACTTCAAATAAATAAAATGCTTGATAATGCCCAAGTAGGATAAACAGAATTAGATCCATAGCTAAATAATATTTTGAGTATTAATCCCATGAGGAAACCTTAATAGTTACCGGAGTGTTTTCTTCATGCCAGTCACCATTCTACGCAATACTCTTATTAACTCAATCTTCACAACTGTAAGACTGGCATGATGCTGTCCCACTTCTTCCATGATGGTCTAAGGTATAATGGATGACTGGACGGGGCCCAGATTCAAACTGAGACATCCAGAATCCATGCTCTTAAACATTAATCATTGCCTTTCCAGCAAGTAAATTGACAGCAGACTCAATAATAATAAAAAAAGAGCTCACTACCCATGGATACTCAATGTAAAAACTAACCAAAGCTACTTCAAAAAGGAAATTAGCCAGACATGGTAGCACACCTGTAATTCCAGTCTTTTGGGAGACTGAGGTAGGAGGATCCCAAATTCAAGGTCAACCTGAGCAATTCAGTTGAGACCTTGACTTCAGGGGGAAAAAAAAAAAAAGTATATACGTAGGGCCAGGGATATAGCTTAGTGGTAGAGGCTTGCCATACCCAGAGTGAGGCCCTGAGTTTTATACCAACATCAGGGGAAAAGATAAAAAAAAGAAGGAAAGTCAATCAATGAAAAAGAATAAAATACAAGAAACAATAATCAAGACAGAAGTAGGTAAATAAGTCTACAGGGGTGAGGGGAGCAATGTAAAAATAAGATGAATGACAGAAGAAAACACTGAAGTTAAAAAGTTCCAACTTGTAGATTTGAGTAGAAAAAGAACTGAAACACTGATCAAAAATTTTAAAACCAAGGACAAATGTTAAATATTACAGGCCTTTTTAAGAACCCAATTCTATACTCAACTAAATTATCAATCAAGAGGACAATTAAAAACAAGCATTTTCTTACAAAAATCTCAAAAAAATGACCTCCCCATAAAACTTATTTTTAAAAATTTCTCTCCCAACATGTATTAATCACTTTGTAGTTTCAACATATGTCCATAAATTTTTTGATATTCCTCTGTCTAGAAGTTGAATTTTACTCCCCTCCCTCTGAGTGTGGACTGGACTTAGGGATTCCTGTCTAACCCAAACTGCATATGGAAAAGAAAAAGTAACCCACCTTAAGGCAGGCATCACCTTAATCAAACAATCAAGGTTTAATATCATCAATGTAAAGTCCTGCTGATGGCATGTACCTCCTAATACAATGCTATCAGAAGACCTCCTTCAACCTCTGTGATATTCGCCACCCAGCCAAATCCACAATCCTAGTCTAGAGAAAAAACAATTGTGAGACATTTTACAAAATACCCATCTAGTACTCTTCAAAAGAATTAGGGGTATGAAAGACAAGGAAAGACAGGTAACATGACACAGGGTAAAAGAGATTAAGGAAATGTTTCAGTTAAATGTAATGTGGTATCCTATACAATATTTAAGAAAAATCATGTTGATTTCTTTAGCATACAAGGTACTGGATGAATACTGTAATTAATTTTTTTAATTTTTATTTTATTCATATGTGCATACAATGTTTGGGTCATTTCTCCCCCCTTCCCCCACCCCCTCCCTTGACCCTCCACCCCGTCCCCTCCCTCTCTCCCCTACCCCCTCGCTACCTGGCAGAAACTATTTTGCCCTTATCTCTAATTTTGTTGAAGAGAGTATAAGCAATAATAGGAAGGACCAAGGGTTTTTGCTAGTTGAGATAAGGATAGCTATACAGGGAGTTGACTTGCATTGATTTCCTGTGCATGTGTGTTACCTTCTAAGTTAATTCTTCTTGAAATAACTTTTTCTCTAGTTCCTGGTCCCCTTCTCCTATTGGCCTCTGTTAATACTATAATTAATGATTCAAAAGCACTTTTCAGTTTTTGTAGTCATCCATTTTATTTTTAATATTTAATACACCTATTATTTTACACTTTCAGAAAACTTATAGCTAGGACAGAGAGTTCTTGTATAGTTCATACCCAGTTACCTCTAATGCTGACATCTTATATTTCTATGGTAAATTGTCACAATTAATGAAACAATACTGATATATTTTTACAGATTAAACTCCACACTTTATTCAGATTCCATGAGTTTTCTCCTAATGTCCAGGATGCCACATTACATTTAGTCATCATCTCTCCTTAGGCTCCTATGTGCTGAAAATTGAGATTTTCCCTGTTTTGATGACCTTGACAATTACTGGTTGTTTTGTAGATTGCTCCTCAATTCTTGCTATTAACTTATCACTGTTGAACACACGGCTCACCTAGTGTCAAAAGCATTATCTTAAAGAATGATATATTTGTTGCTATCAAAATTAAATATTTTGATCAACAAAAGGCCCCCATATACCAGAAGTGGTGGCTCAGGCCTGTGATCCTAGCTACTGGGGAGGCAGAGGTTGGGAGGATGGTGGGCCTGGGTAAAAAGTTTGAGACACCCCATCTCAACCAACACAGTGGCACTATAAGTACACACGAAGCACAAACAGGAGGATCGTGGTTCAGGCCAGCCAGGCATAAAGTGGGACCCTATCTCAAAAAGGGCTGGGGGAGTGTTTCAAGGGGTAGAAAAATCTGCCTAACAAGTGTAAGGCCCTGAGTTCAATCCCCAGTGTAGTCCAACAGAACAAAACAAAAATAAAACCCATAAACAAAGTCAAGATAAGCCAGTAATTGTGAAAAATATTTATGCCTAAATATATTTAATCAAGGGTTAGTATTTTGAATACATAAATAACTTCTACAAATCAAGTAGATAAAGATAAAAAAAAATCTCAATTTTTAAAATAGGTAAGGGTATGAACAGAAGAAGATATCAAAGAGGGTTAAAAAAATCTAAGAAAATATTCAGTTCTGATACTAGTTAGGGAAATAAAAATTAATTCAATAAAGATAGAAAATGAAAGAACTGAAATTACTATGAAACTAGCCTATTATAGTGAAGGTAAAATGACTAATTGTTACTGTGTTTATACAGAAATTGATTGGGGATATAGGCAGCTGAAGGAGGGACAGAAGCAGCAAAATCACAGATCAAAGAACAGCCGGAAGATAAAGAGTGTGGGCATGGCAACACACACATCATTAAGAAGCAGATACAGGACAGAGAAGAGGCAGGAGGGAGGAGAGAGACACCTTGAAACAATGTCCTGGAGAGAATGGATAAAAACCTTAGGTCACATCATTGTTTGGACACCCTCTCTTGAGAACTTCCCCCAACTCTGGAAGCTCTACTCTTTTCCTACCTTACACTTTTCTATCTCAAAACCTCTCCTACTTTATGCTTTCCCCCTTGAGTTTGAACTTGTCATTCTTCATGGACTTCAACGCAAACTTGACACTGGTATCACAATCACACCCAAGTAAATGTTTACTCAAACACATAAATATACTTACTTACTAAAACCAAAGTTGACTGACTGATCACTGATGATTTCAAACTGTACAGGTCGATCACCCATACAATATTTTCTTAACAACTCGAGGCAAGTATGTAATGTTTTTCTTGAGGGCTTATTTTCATGGAAAAGATCACCTCCTAACAAAATAAAATCCACCTAGTCAACAGAAAATGATGTTACAATTAGTAGTTTTTAAGTAAAAAAGTTTCAAACTGTAGATGAACAAGATAGAAGAAAAAAAGATTCATACCTAGGCATGGTAGTACACATCTGCAATTCCAACACTTGGGATGCTGAGGCAGGAGGATGGCAAGGTAATTCAAGGCTAGCCTGGCCTACATATACAGACCTTGTCTCAAACACAACAATAAAAAAACACCAAACTAAAACAAAAATTTCACCAAAGACATTATTATGTATAACCACCTAAAATCTTACATTTCATTTATTCAAAGGGCCTTTCAATCTGGTGATTAATCAGACTCCAATTTGGGTTCCTAAGATACCTTAAAAAAAAAAAGGCATCACTAGGGACTGGTGGAGTGGCTCAAGTAGTAGAGCACTCAAGTGTTGAGGCCCTTGAGTCCAAACCTCAGTACCCTCCCCCCACTAAAAAAAAAAACCCAGAAAAGGTCACCATTAAATTACTATACCAAATTGCTAACTCAGGTTATCCAAGGTGACTATGTTTCATTTCCCTTTTAAATTCAAATCAAATATATAGAACATTAAGAGATATCAAATACAACCCAAATTATTCACTCGATTTTTATTTATAGAGTTCCTACAGACTCTGTTAGCTAAGGAAATAGAAATCTACAAAAATAATGTCCCTTATTAAGTACTGACTACGTACTATTTGGTATATTGGGTCTTGAGGATATAATGATGAGTAAAATATGATTGTTTTCCTAAATATGTTCAAACTCTAGTGGACAAGACAAACTGTTGGTACACCTAAATGCAAGTCAGACTCTGACATGCACTAGAAACAGGAACAGAGATTGACATGGGAATGAATTCTGAGGGAAGGACATATTCTTTTGAAGACAGAAGAGATGTGCTAACACGGTAGCATCTGAGTTTGCACCATGAAGATAAATGAGATTTTGAGGAAGAGATATCTAGATACTTCAGTAAAGGTAAATCATACAGAAATAAGTCCAACACACTCATGCTTCTGAGAAGTATACCTAAAGAAACTTATGTTCTTGCCATGTATGGAGGCACATGCCCATATAACTGCAGCTGTGCGGGGGACAGAAGGGTCACTTAAGCCTACTAGTTAGAGACAAGCCTGGGTAACCTGGGTCCCAACTACTCCACCATTAAAAAAAAACCCTTAAATTCATACACAAACAAACCAAAAAAGAACACTGGAGTCCAGATCACTGTGGCTACCGTAGTTAGGTAAAGAAACTCTAAGAACAATGTGAGATTTATGGCACGCCTTCAAGAATGAACATGATTTGTTTAAAAGAAAAAATGGTAATCAAAAGCATGGAATGAAAAACACAAGAAAAACATACTGGGGAATGAGACGTTGTTAGCTTATAGGTATCACTATTCATGATGAAAGGAGTTCTAGAGAGTGTGTGTACAGCAATATGAATGTACTTAACATTACTAAACTGTACACTTTAACATGGTAAGTCTTGTTATATGTATTCTGCCACAATTTTTAAAAAACTGGTTCTTGCTTCCAGAAAACCTTGAGAAGGGTTAATTCACTTCTGTGCTATTCCTGCCAAAAGTGCAGGACCTGAATCTAATCATGAGGAAAAACCAGACATATCCAGTTTGAGGAAAATATCAGTTATGAAAGACAAAGGCAGAATGAGCAAACAGCAGATAAAAGGAGACTGAAAGAGATGTGACAACTAAACGCATCATGTGAGACCTACTTTCCCCTAAGAGACATTACTGCAATATCTTAAAACTACATAATAAAAATAAAAAATATATTAAAACAACAACAAAAAAAACTACATGATAGTATTGAATCAACATTAGTTTCCTTGTTTTGATATGTGGACTATGGTTATACACATAATTTACTCTTGAATGATTCAGGCAGAGGAGGTGTGTGTGTGTATATAAAAGGAGAGGAGAAAGCATGTAATAAATTTTTAAAAATCTGGGCAAGTAAGGAATTCCATTTAGCATTTGTGTAACTTTGTAAGTGATAATTATTTCAAAATTGTTCAAGCATGGGGTGTCTGGAGATAGGGGGAGCCATTAAGATTAATAGATGCAAGGAAGAGACTCAGGAAACAAAAGGGACAAAGAAGAATCTTGGACTGAGTGACAGAGATGTTTTAAGGTCTAAGAGTCAAAAACAAAGAGCACATGCAGGATTCTGCAGGAGGAAAGAGACCTCCATTGTATAGAAGTTTTTCTGCCCTATAGGAAAGAATGCATCTTAAAAGGAGATAAAACTAGCCATTCCTCCACTCAATAACAAGTTTGTAAGAGTTCTCACTGCTTTCTAGAGCTTTCCTAAGTTTTATGATATACTATGAAGAAGCAGAAAAGAAGGTGGGCATAGTGGCTCGTACTTACAATACCAACTTCTCAGGAGGTGGAAGCAGGAGGATCAAGAGTATGAGGCCAACCCAGGCAAAATCAGTGAGACCCTATAACAAAAGGGCTGGGAGCATGGTTCAAAGTGTATAGTGCTTGTCTACCAAGCATGAGACATTGGGTTCAATCCCCAGTAACCCCCACCCCCCCAAAAAAAGTATGCATACACACACCCACACCCACACAAACACACACAAAATAAGCAGAAAAGACTTTACTATCATTGAGTTATTTACCTTCTAGTGGAGAACACAGGTAATAAACAAATAACTCAATGAATTATTTTACATGGGGTTATTAAAAAATACAATAATGTTATAATAGAATGCTTGGAGGTATCAAAGAAGATCTCCTTAAAAAGGTAAAAACTGAACTGAGAAGTCACTCCTGCCAAGATCAGGGTGTTGCAAGCATAGAGAATGAGACCTGTAAAATTCCCAGAGTAAAACATATCCATGTGGATAAAGTACTATAAACTAGGTAGAGTTGTAGGAGATGAAGTTTCCCGGTAGGAGTCAGATCAAGTTAGTCTTATAATCTGAATTTATTCTAGATTTATTGTAAGGCTATTTGGAAGATTTTAGGCAGCACAATGACAGGATATGATTTATGATTGTAGAAGGTTACTTTGGCTGCTATGTGAATAGATATAAGGGAAAATGCAAGTAGAAAGATGAATGGGGACAAAATATGATAAAAATTTTGTGCTAAGTTTACAGGTACGAAGATAGAGTAGTGGGGAGGTTCCATATACATACAGGAGGAAGAACTAAATGCCTTACAAGAAACTGCAGAGAAGTCAAGGTGGAAGTTATCAATTTGCAAGCATAAACATTTATGTTTACTCTCCAGCTCTCTCCTGGGTTCTAGACTGCATGCTGGAATGTCCTATTGGACTCTTCAAAGCTTTATTAGTATAAATCAAAACTCACCACCTTCCCACATGAATAATTGTGCTTTCTTTTCCTTTTTCTCTTTAGTATACTGGACATTGAACCTGGGGCCTCTACTACTACTTGAGCCATGCCTCCAGTCCTTTTATTTTTAGGTTTTTTTCAGATGAGGCTTCCTTAACTTTGCTCAGGCTAGCCTCAAACCACAAACTTCCTACTTCCACCTCCTTAGTAGGAGGTGGACCACAGGTATGTACAAACACATCAAGCCTGTTTTTGAGGACAGGGTCTTACTAACTTTTGCTGGGCTGGCCTCCAACGGTAATCCTCCTGGCACCACCTCCTGGAACTACATGCCTTGCACCACTACACTTGGCCCGGACTAACTATTTGTATATTTCTACTGTGGCACTACCATTCACTTTCAGATTCAACACATTTCAGGCACTGTCGTTCCTTTTCCCTGATCCTCACCCCCTACAATTGACCAATCAAAGTATGCAAAGACTATCTTTGTATTACCTCTCCCATTCACTTCTTCTTCCATCCTGAATGTCACCACTTTTTAAAAAGTTTCAAAATGGTCTTGAATTCATGCTGTAGTGCCTGCCCTCCTTCCAGAACATTTTCTACCTAATTCAACGTACACTCCATAGTCTGGCATTTGAAGCCCTCCTTAGGCAGGTCAAACCCTCATTTCTACTCTCTCAGCATACTTTCTGACACATGGCCTACAGGTGAGCCAAACTGACTTCCTAGTTGCTTAACAAGCCCCATTTTGTCCCACATCTGTGCTCTTACCTCCTGCTTCACTTAGAATTCTTTATGCTCTTTAAGTATCAAAGTCTATCTGCCTTTATCTATTAAGCCTAAGTTAACTGTCAGCATTAAGGTAAGTTCATTTTACTATTCTCATTTAATGTGATCTCTTCTATCTCTAAGCAACCAAGAAATGCTGTTTATATTTTTCTTAAGGCTCTTGTCACATAGGACCTTGCATCTGAGTATTCAAATATCTATCTCATTTCCCAGTCTGGTATGCTATATGTTTGAAAGCAGAAACTATGACAGTGATCTTTTAATTTCAAATAGAAGTTACTATGAAACCATGCACGCATTAAGCACCCCAGAAGTATTTGTAAATATAAAAACTATTTGCCAGAGTATCTTCCACTTGAATTAAAGACAGAAAGCACACAAAATCTGCTTTGAGCTTTTAGTACACTGGTATTTGAGCTCATGTGAGCACATGAGCCTGTAAAAGTAAATCTAACCTAAGGGATAAGAACCTGGTGATTAAGGGAATACAGTAGAAATTGTACAGTTATAAACCAAACTCACTTCATTTTCCTGGGCAAGTCTTAAAATTTCATCAAGTGTGACAAATGTATCATTTCCTCTGACTGCATCTTTCTCCATAAATCCAAGATGAATATCAGTCGCAACTAAGATTTTAAATGTATTTCCATCATCACTGTTTTGAACAAGAAAAATCGTTTCAATGTAATGCATTAAAAAGATATTCAAACAAACTGACACCTAAGCATAAGGTAAATAAGAACAGTTATAGAGTGAAATAACTGTAGTCTTAATGAAGTATTCAATAGACCTTTAACATCAGTTTACTTTTCCTGACTGATAATACAGGACTAATGTATATAAATTTTTAAAAGGTTCTATACCTGCTTCTAAATTTAACACCTTGGGCTAGAGGTGTGGCTCAAGCAGAAGACTACGTGCCTAGCAAGCATAAAGTTTTGAGTTACCCAAGTACCACCAAAAAAAAAAAAAGCCCAAAAACCAAATTGGAACCTTGTTAAAAATCAGTTTTATATACTCTCATGTAACCCAGACCTTAAAGCTCATTGTTTCTACTCTCTTCTACCACAAAAACTTGAAAGGTTTTAAGCTTGGTTTATCTGATTTTGCACTTTTTCGGAAAACCAAATTTTTAAAATGTTTCTGTAAGTTTAAAAGTAGATTTTATACTAATATAGTAACTTATATTCAGGCCCCTGAAAACATTTGATTGATTCTACACTCTACATATAGTTTTCATTAATAAGTTTGGCCAAGTAACAAAACAAAATTGTTTCAATCCAAATGAAATTTGATAAAGGTACTTTAATGTGAAGCAGAAATGCAAGTTATTAACACACTCTTTTTTTTTTTTAAGAGAAAGTAAGCTTTATTAACACACTCTTAAACTTAATATAGCTTTGAATTCTTTAAAATACTTTTATATATATGATCTCATCTCAACTCCCATAGGTACAGGGCAGGTGTTATTATCTCCAAAAAAAATGAGAAGACTAGACACATAGAAATTAACTGATTATTACACAATTAGTGGTAGAAACAGGACTAAAAGCCATAATGAAGCCCAATCTATTTTCACTAAACTATAATGAACTTTTAAGAAATACCTCCAAAATACAAATTTACATATAAAGACATTTCCAGCAACTTTCTCTTCAGAAATTTAAAAAATGATATGCACAAAGTTTTGATTGCTATACATAAATTCAGATCACATTACCACATTCTTCTAAAGCACTGTATAAAGTATTTTCACACAAATTCTCTCATTTAAACCTCAAAATTAGTCTGAGAAAGGCATTTTTATTCTAATTATACAAATGAAGAAATTGAGACAGGGCTCAAATACTTGCTGACTTGCCTAAGGTCACACAGCTAGTTCTGAATGATGAGTTGAAACCTGGATGAAAAACTCCTAAAGACTAAGGTTTTTTTCTATCTAACTTTTATAGTCCCTTTATTTATTTCCATTTCATTCAAATCATTTTCAATTTATTCAATACTAGAGCAATTTACCCTAAACTCTGCATAAACAGAATTGTATTGGCCAGTAAGATTTCATCATGAAAATTCGAGGATATCTGTTAAGTTTCAATATTTTGAGGCGAAGCCTAAGAACATAAGCTTTATAACAATAAAACAACAGTATGGGGTGTAGTGGTGCATGCTGGTAATCCCAGCTACCTGGGAGGCTTGAAGCAGGAGGATCAAGAGTTCAAGGCTAACCTTGGACAAGTTAAGTCCCTGTCTCCAAATAAAGAGGTTGATGTTAACTCAGTAGTAGAGTGCTTGTTTAGCATGTGTGAGACCCTGAGTTCAATTCCAGTATCACCGAAACAAAACAAAACTCAAAAAAATTACTGCATGATTCCAATCAATAGCTACATACTACTATTTTTAGTTAATACAGTCTGGATTTTTAAACATCCAAAATATTATTTTTGATGACTAACACTTTTGTTCACAAGTAGTTCCTTTCGATAATTTATTTTTTTCAGTACTAAGGCATGCTAGGCAAAGACACTACCATTTGAACCATGCTTTCAGTCCAGTTTTCTTTTTAGGTGATCATAGTTGACAGACTAGAAACTTAAAGGACTCCAAAAGTCAGTCACAGGCTTACAGCGAATCTGCAGGACTCATTTTTATGGTTTGTAGAGCTCTTGAAGGACCAGGTTCCTCTCCAATACCCTTGGATCCTGTGTTCAAGTATGTTAGAAAATCCAAGTCTAAAAACAAATATAATAATACACATATTAAGAAAGTCTGCATACAGCTAATCAATATGAGTTAGGATGAGTAGGGTACAGACTTCTTAAATAAGAAGACTGGCAATTTTGAAAAAACTCTCACTTTCATTTAAGCACCTACTGTACTCCTATTGTTTAAATGAGCTAAGAATAAAAAAAAAAAATCACACCTCCAGTGTCACTCTAGCTTCATTATCATGATTAATTTTACCTACTAGTTTCCTTTAATTGCTATTATGGAGTATTAGTGAATGTTAAATGAATGGGCAGAAAGGATCACATCCGGCTCTGGCTCAGTATACAACTCTGGATATGCAGAAATGTTTAAGTTGCATAAAGAGAATACTCTAGAGCATGGAGGCAAATCCATATTTCCTGTCCAAACATAAGATTAAAAGGTGGGCTTAATTTTGGAAGAAAAGGGCCCCATGTTTTAAACATAAGCCTACGGAAGAACACCTTTTAATTTCTCGAAGGCGCCAGTAGAACCAGTGAAAGATTTGGAAAGGAGTAGCTGCCACCACGAAACAATTCCTTCCACGTTAGGAAAGGCAGGTTCCGCGGGATTCCAAGCCTCACCAAGCCTCTCTAAGGGCCTCTGAAGACAGAAGGCGGGGCCTTCCAGACCCTCTCTCCAGTACACTAGGCCCACTTATCCCAAAAGGTTCCATTCGCTCTGGGATTCTGCCCCGGAACCCGCAAAACTAAAAGACGGATACGATTCCTAAGTTACCTCACTCCTGGACGCTTCAAAGCCCGACATCAGGACCCAAAGCTGTCTTCTGTACGATGAGAAGAGGAACTTGCAGAAAGAACCAGCCACGAATTAGGCGCGAGAGAACTGCACCTCCGTTCTCGCGACACCTCTTTGATGACGTAACACGTTATGTCCTCTTCCACTTTCCCGCTGCCTTGCCGGAGCCAATCCTGGGCAGCCGAGGAACAAACCCGGAAGCGAGGTTTGCGGAGATTTTTCATCGGTGAGTTCGGCTTGTGGTGTTGGTCCTGGAAGTCGCTTCCTGGTAGGGTCGCGCGGTAAGAAGTTCTAGGCTGTCACCTGTGGACCCCAGACAAGCGTTGAAGGTCGGGCTGTGTCCTGGCCCTAGGCAGGACTGAGGCGGCTTCTTTGCTCTTGGCTGATTGGAAGGCTGCAGGCGGTACTCCCGGGCCTGTACGTGAGCCCCTGGTGGCAGAGGCAGATCTGGCTGCTTTTTCAGTCCGCTGGGCAGACCAGCTAATTCATGGGCCTTCATGTCTGCTTTCCCCTACTGTTGCCCTTATGACCCGTATTCAGCACTTCCGTGTTGCTTTGCGCTGCGCTGAGAACAGTAGAATTATAGTGCTGTAAAAAATGAGTTGGACTTCTGAGTTAGATCTGGCCTTTTAGTTCCATTGAAGAGGTTTTGATCTGTGGCAAGTTGTTTTAATCTGTTCGAACTCTCCTGTATTTGTGTTTATAGCCCCCATCTATCACTAATTGCTTATGAGGAGTTGGCACTATTTGGATCTCTCTCAAAATGAAATGTGCCCTTTAAGTTAGGAAATAAACCCTATACTTCCTGAAGGGAATCATCAAGCAAGAATCTTGATCATTTTATTAACCTGAATCACGAAGATACATCCGAGTTTGACTTTTTAAATTAAACGTACCAAGAAACTTTATGTGTAATTTTTTGTTTTGAACAGTAAAACCAGAATTATGTATAAAGGGAGTTTTTATAAAACGGAAAGGCGTATTGGAGTAGGGAGTTTAAGATCTTTGCTATAATAGTACTATTTTCGACATAATTACTTGTTTATTGGCATATGTTCCGTGTTTAATAACTGATGGAAATAGTTTGATTATAAAGGAAAAAATGGAAGCTCCAAGAGAACTAATAAATCACAAGGTAATTGTGATTGGGGGAGGGGGTCCTCTCAGTAGACTCTGAAAACCTGGACAGGACTTAGAAACCCTTAAGTGCAATCCTTAAATTTTACAATGTAGTTAAAAGCCCAGAGAAATTACTAGTCATGAGTGATAGGTTTAAATTGCATTTTGTGCTCTTGTCACTAATAATAAACTTTAATACCACATTAGGATTATATACTATTAAATTTGTAAAGTTAACTGGAACAAAATCAGTATATCTTAGGGGTATGATTAACTAGGTCTTCTCAATGCATAACAGCCACAGTCATGCTAGATTTTAATTAAATCTAATGCTACAAACATTTCTTTTTTTGTGTGTAGTACTTGCTAGTCAAGCATTCAACCACTGATTCATCCCTAGTCGTCCCCCCCCCCCGCCACTTTTTATGTATTTTTTTTTGGGATGGGGTCTTGCTAACTTTTCTTGAGCTATCTTCTAACTAACCATCCTCTTGCTTCTATCTCCCAAGTAATTGGAATTACAAATGTATGCTATTCTTGGCTTAATGATACAAATATGTCTTAATATCTGCTATGTACAGGTGACATGTACCTATCAGTTAAATATGGTCCCTATTAAATTTACAGTCTTTTAACTGGCTAACATAAAAACAAAGTTTGTGGTGAAACAATATCACAACAAGAAGAGGAGAAAGCAGAGAGATCTAATTGAGAGGATAAAGAAAGAATAAAAGAGAACATTTAAAAATAGTCTATGAAATTCAGTGAGGGTTCAACAAGTATAGTTCAGTGATTAGGAAATTGTATTATTAGAATAAGTATCCTCATTTTCTTTGGTTGATTAAGGCTTATATGCTGTGTAACTCTTTAAGCTGATACTAATTTATAAGTTAATATAGCAGCCTAGCAGAATAAACATCCCTTCCTTCATGGAGACTGCTGTAATCCCCTATGATTGAGTGAATTATGATCCTCTTGTATATTTGTGGTGATTGAGTATAGTCCAATAAGTACTTATCATGTCTTTGCAGTCAGCCCCACTCACTTCTTAAGGTAAAGACATAGCTCTAGTTCATTATTGAATCCCATCAACCAGGCATTCTGTTCATATTAGGTGAAGAAGGGAGTAAAAGCCAAAATACAATTCAAAACAAGAAGTTAACTAAGAACTAAAGTTGTCTATCAGCAAACAGGACTACTTGTTAAACTAGTAAATTTTCCCAGGCATGAAACTATTAAGGTAGAAATAGGATAATTACAGTAGACCCTTGTTATCCTTGGGTATATGGCTCAGAGGAGACCACCATTGAGGAAAAACTGTCAATCAAGATGGATAGACTTTAAACACAACTGAGGATAACTGTGAGACTGACTGAGAGCTTCTGTGCATCAAGCTGTATAATGTGTGAGTGAGATTTTTTTTTTTTGACCACACTTGTTCAAAGCCATGTGTAACAAGTCTATGAGTACGACAGGCTTACTGTGTTAAAGATATTGTGGTAAAGACATCTGTGTTGATGACCGATTTGGACAGGTATTCTTTTAGGGACTATTTCAACTTTAAGAATCCTTTGTTTTTTAGGAACTGGAAAGTATTGTTTCTATTCATATTATTTGTCTAGTTTATAATAATCTTCAGTGGACCTGAATTTATTATATTAGTTAGAGTTTAAAACCGTGTAGCATTCATTACCCTTTACATAAAACTATCATACCTAAACCAATAGATTCAGAATAATACAGTTATTGCCATTGACTTAGTGGATAAAAACAACAAAGAAATAAGTGTTAGACCATAAAAGATCATAGATACCTGAAATCTATGAGTTCCAGTATTTAGTAAGTTTAGTGGCTTATCATAAGAAAACCACAAAAGAGTTTAGGTAGAGCTTTATTTGTACATGTTCACAAGATTGTTATCTATGCTATTGATAAAGATGTAAATACCCTTTGAACTAATATTTTTTGTATTTGTGTTTTCAGATTGTGACGACTAAAGCAGACATAATTCTTCTCTTGAATGTGTATACTCTAGTATTTGAATTTTTTAAAAATTTAGAATAGTAGTAAAGGTGGAAAACGAGTAAATGGTGATGGAAAACCAGACCCAGAAAATTCCTTGAACTTTTCTGAACGCTTTAACTAATTTGAACTGTTGGAAACATGTGGACACCCTAGCCGCACTGGTACTCAGAGTCTGTGTAGGTAATTCTAATGAAGACAAGGAAAAAGATGAAAAGTGGTATCAATTGCAAGAAATAATAGAAAAAGATCTGGAGGAGGGGGGCAGGGGGAAGAAATGACTCAAACAATGTATGCACATGTGAATAAATGAATAATAAAATTTTTAAAAAAAGAAAAAGATCAAAGCAGATTGCCTCTTTGTGCTGCTGAAAAAAAAAAATCCTTGGGCTGTTGAAACAAAAATAAAAACAATAAAATAGAAGGAACAGTTACATAGTAGGAAAAGCAATGGGTTTGGAGCCAAAAGACCTGCATCTGAACCTCCATTTGATCTGTATCTTTAAGCAAATTCTACCATTTCTGAACCTCTAGTTTCTTATCTGTAAACATGGCCACCAACATATCTATCATTCAGGATTATGAAAATCAAATGAAGCAATGTATATAAAAGCACATGTTAAGTTAAAAATTGTGATGTTAAATATTGTTTAGGCGTTTAAAGATAATTATAGAGATAGCAAAGCATAGCACTGGTGGCTCATTCCTATAATCATAGCACTTGACAGGCTGAGATTTGGAAGATTGTGATTCCTGACCACCTTGGTCAAAAAAATTAGCAATACAATACCCCATCTTCACATAAAAAAACACCTTGTGGTGGTGCACACATTATCCCAGCAATGGCAGGAGGTGTAAAATAGGAGGATGCCGTCCAAGCCAGCATGGGCAAAAAGCCAGACCCTATCTCCAAAATAACCAGGTAAAAACCTGTAGTAATGGCTCATGTGGTAGAGTACCTGCCTAGCAAGCATGAAGCCCTGAGTTCAAACCCAGTACTATCAAAAAAGAAGCAATCCTATATATTTTTAGATTATTTATATTAGGTCATTAGGATCAGACTACAGTTAAGTGTCATTTACGCTAGATAGATTGAAAATGAACACTTAGTGAATACCAACCATACCAGGTGCCACACTACATTGTTTAATTTAATCCGCATCCCTATAAGAAAAGGTAAGCTTAATTAGCATAGAATCATCCAAGTAGAATTAACACCAAAAATCAGTTCTTCCCACTTGGCCATTTCTATTTCATTTTACTATGTTCACCTTTGCCTGTGTTGGTAAACTGAAAACTAAAAGGGTTTTGCATTTTTTAATAATCCTAGAGCATGCTGCAGCATACCACAGGCCCATATGTCAAATTGAAAAGCACTGCCTGTTGGCATGTTTCTAAAGCTGTATTTGGAAGGAATTGAGCCCTTTAACTCCTGAATTTCCTTGTCCTTGTTTTATTTTTTTTTTAAGTTTTATATACTCTGTATGTTGATATGAAGATCCTATTATAGAAAAATTAATGTTATGCTTTCTTTATAGGTGAAATATATAAACTATGTGATGTAGTTATGACCTATATTGTTCTTCTAGGCCAACCTGTGAGAAATAAGCCCTAATTGGAGCAGGAATAAATGTGTAGTTTGATATTCAGACAATTATGTCTTTAGAAACAAGTGAGTACAGTTAACATTAACTTGTTTATTATTAAATCAGTTGCCCTCACTGCAAAAAGAAATTTTAAATTATTTTCATTTTCAAGTCATCTGCTAATAATTTTTTTAAACTTAATTAAATCTAAAGCCACGGGACAATTTTATTTATTGTTTTGCTTTGATTTGGATTCTTAAAAGATCTCTTCTCAGCCTACTATTGTAAGCCTTCTTTCCAAGAATGCCACTCAGAGGAACACTAGGAAGAAAGATGAGTGTATTTCTCTTCATTGAGCATCCTAC